AGTTCAAATTCACTCGGATACCTTGTATAAAGTCCTGTCATACTACTACTGATGGAGTCCTGGTGTGGCGCCATAGGATAAGCACTGGACTGCAGGGTTGGTTTGAACAGCAAGGTTGGTGGTTCTGGCTCACCAGCTGCTCCTCAGAAACCCTATGCAAGGTTGCTATGAGTTGCTGGCAAACAACATCAACAACAACATACTATTTCTGAAAAATCACTGCCATTGAAAACCATTGAGTCAGAATTGACTCAGCTGCTACTGGTTTGGTTTTTAGCTTTTTAGGTGTTAGTAATCCTGCCCCTAACCTACCGAGGTCCGATGCTAAAATAAATGTTCAGTGATATGGATTAGATATCTACTTTTTCATTATGTATTTTCTGTTATCAATATATGCTGATTGAATATTTCTTTAAAAAGTAGGAAACAAAGAAAATGTTGAGGAGGTTTCAATTTTGTTGGACAGATAGAGCTAATAGTGATAAAGGCACTTGGAAAGTAATATTAAACAGAATGGATTGATAATTAAATTGTGTTCTTAGTATGAAAGTGAAACTCTAAAGCACAATGTAGTAGTAGGTTACCAAACTCAAAGCTGCTTCTGTTGAGTCTATTCCAATTGATAGTGAACCCTCTAGGACCGAGCAGAATTGCCTATAGGGTTTCAAAGACAGTCAAGTTTTACATAAACAGACTGCCGCTGCTTTCCCTGTGGGGTGTGTGGTGGGTTTGAACCAATTTTTATACAAATTATATCATTTTATACAATTATACAATTTTTATGCACTTAACCACTATACCACCAGGCCTTATTAGTCACAAGTTGTTGCTAAGTACCGTTGAGTTGGTCCCAACCCATCGCGACCCTATGTCGAGGAACAGCTGGTGAACTTGAACCGCCGATCTTGCAGTTCAAAGCCCCTTTGCAGTCTAGTGCATTAACCCACAGTGCAATAGTAAGGTTTTGTGGTTGTTGTTGTTGAGTGCTGTCGGGTTGGTTCAGACCCGTAGTGAGATTTGAGTTACTGAGGAGCAGCTGGTGAACTTGGACCACTGACCTTGCAGTTCAAACCGACTTTGCAGTCCAGCACATTAACCCGCAGCACCCCAGCAGGTAGGCCAAATAGCTTTCACCTCAGTTGAATTTTAAAGAGGTCTTCCAAAATTTTTGATATTTTGTTTTCTAGCATTTGGTCTTACAGTCTGAGTCTGAAATTTATTGGGAACCAGGAATTCTTCCTAGGGAAATAATGATTTTATTTTAGTTTTAGTTAGTAGTTGATGGATAAATTTTGTTTATTAATTGATTATATACAGAAGTAAATGCTGTTTTCTTTCCTCCTCCTTTGCATTTGGCAGGACATAACAATGAATTATCTGATTTAGCCATGTAGGCCTGGTTAACAAGGACAGCAAGTAGCTATTTTCATTGAAAGAATGGTAAAGAATTCAGTTATTAAATTCTAATAATAATTTAGAAATAAACATTGAAACACCTTAGGAAATTCTGGCTCTTTTGGTTCCATATTACAATCAGGGATCATAACTTTCAATTTTTATTTTTTATCATAGGAAGAAAAAGCCAGTCAGAAGCCATCTGAATCCAAAGAGATAAAGCTTTATGCCCAGATTCCCCCTATAGAGAAGATGGATGCCTCTTTGTCCATGCTTACTAATTGCGAGTAAGCTTTCTTGTGTCTTTTCTTCCTTTTAATATTGCTATTAGATTTCCCTTCCTATCCTGAAGACATGAACTTGAAAAATATGTTTTTTTCCTGTGATCGTCATTTATTTTTTATTTGCTAATGTAATTATCCTTTAATAAAAGAAAGACAAAAATGAAATAATTTATGGTTTATGGGATTAGTAATAGAGTACTGCTGAATAGTAGAATTTTTTCAGTACAGTTTTTATGCATTTTGAGTATCTGCCTAGAAAATAGAAATTTCCTGGTCTCTTGGGAAAAATTATATAGCATAATAAAACCGTTACTTGATAATAAAATCGGTTGCTTTTTCTTGTAAAATCATCTACCAAAGGCAGTACTCTACCTACTTACTAGGTACCCAAGCACCAGGAATTGCTGGAATAAAAATTGAAATCTCTCAAAAAAGTGAGGCAGCACAGGAGGCACTCACTCATCTCTGCCAAGAAATTTGGAAGACAACTATCTGGCCGACTGATTGGAAGAGATCCGTATTTGTGCCCATTCCAAAGAGAGGTGACCCAATGGAATACGGAAATCATCGGGCAATAATATCTTTGATATCCCATGCAAGTAAAGTTTTACTAAAGGTAATACAGAAACGGCTGCAATCATACATTGACAGAAAACGTCCAGAGGTTCGAGCTGGATTCAGAGGAGGCCGTGGAACAAGGGATATCATTGCTGATGTCGGATGGATCTTGGATGAAAGCAGAGAATATCAGAAAGTGTTTCCCTGTACTTTATTGACTATGCAAAGGCTTTTGATTGTGTGGATCATGACAAGCTATGGACAACATTGTGAAGTATGAGTATTCCGGAACACTTAATTGTGCTCATGAGAAATCTGTCCCTAGACCAAGAGGCAGTTGTTTGAACAGAACATGGGAACACTGAATGTTTTAAAATTAAGCAAGGTGTGTGCCAGGGTTGTATTCTTTCACCATACTTATTCAGCCTGTATGCTGAGCAAATAATCTGAGAAGCTGGGTTATATGAAGAAAATTGTGGCATCAGGATTGGAGGAAGACTCATTAACAACCTGCGATATTCAGATGATACAACCTTGCTTGCTGAAAGTGAAAAGGACTTAAAACATTTACTGATAAAGATCAAAGAGCACAGCCTTCAGTATGGATTGCATCTCAATGTCAAGAAAACAAAAATCCTCACCACTGGACCAATAAACAACATTCTTATCAATGGAGAAAAGATTGAAGTGTCAAGGACTTCATTCTTCTTGGATCAACTATCAACACTCGTGGAAGCAGCAGTCAAGAAATCAAATGACATATTGCCTTAGGCAAATCTGCTGCACAAGACCTTTTAAAAGTGTTGAAGAGCAAAGATGTCAGCTTGAGGACTAAGGTGCGCCTGACCCAAGCCATGGTATTTTCAATAACCTCATATGCATGCAAAAGCTGGACAGTGAATAAGGAAGACCATAGAAGAATTGATGCTTTTGAGTTACGATATTGGAGGAGAATATTGAAAGTGCCATGGGCTGCCAAAAGAACCAATAGATCCATTTTGGAAGAAGTACAGCCAGAGTGCTCCTTGGAGGCCAAGATGGCCAAACTTCGTCTTTCATGCTTCAGACATATTGTCAGGAGGGACCAGTCACTGGAGAAGGATATCATGTTTGGTAAGGTGGAGGGTCAGAGAAAAAGAGGAAGACCCCCAATGATGGATTGGCCAAGTGGCAGCATCGATGGACTCAAGTGTGGCAACAGTAGTAAGGTTGGCCTAGGATTGGGCAATGTTTCACTCGCTGTGCATAAGGTCGCTATGAGTCATTACTGACTCGATGGCACCTAACAACAACAACAACAACAAGGATACCCTTAAAAATAACATTTTCAAATTATAAAAATACACTGTAATACATTTGTTGATGTTCAGTGCCATCTAGTTGATTCCAGCTCATAGCAACTCAATGTGATAGAATAGAGCTATCCCATAGGATTTTCTTAACTTGTCATCTTTACAGGAATAGATTCACCCTGACTTTTATCTCTGAGTTCAAATCACAGACCTTTCAGTTAGCAGCTCAGCACTTAACTGATTGTGCCACCAGGACTGCTTGTAACACATTTAGAAAACATATGAAGGACAAAGAAAAATAATCAACAACTACTTAAATTGTATTCCTTATAAAAACCAATTAATACTAATTAGAATAGTTTTTTTTAATGTTTGAATTAGGTGCAAATTATACTTATTTTATAATCCTGTTTTCCCATAACTTTAAGTATCATATCATCTTAATTCATTTAAATGTATTTTTTAAATATGCTGCGCAGTGTTTAGTAGGAGGCTGTGACTGATTTGAGGGAATTCTACCAGGACACCATCACTTTGGGGAGCACAGTGACTCTGTTGATTAGTACTATACTGCAACTGCAAGGTCAGCAGTTCGAGCTCACCAGCTGCTCCTTTGGAGAAAAATGAGACTTCCTGCTCCAGCAAAGATTTACAGCCTCAGAAATACTGTACTATACAGAGTCGGAACCAACTCAACGGCACTTAACAACAACCACCACCTTCACTTTGCTTTCAGATTGCATTGTCTTTTGACCAGATTGTAGGATTGCTTTCTGACTGGTATTCAGACTCCTTCACCCTGTCTTTTCCCGATTACATGGGTAACAATCACCTTATGCAGGAGATTGTCCCCACCGCGAATTTATAGATACAGACTGTCTGTCATTGAAACCCCAAAACCACTATTTATAATAAGCTCCTTGGGTGATTCTCAGATACATATTGGTGAACCTATTTTTAGACTATTAAATCTTTGGGAGTAAAGGGAAAAGCAAAACTATTTAGTTATTATATAAGCTTGTTCCTTGGGAACATAAAAGTCAAACTCAGGATACTTTTTTGAGTTCTAGTATGATTTTAAATTGCTCAAATACCTTTTAAATCATAGAGCAATCTCAAAGGTAAACATTTGAAAAGGCTTTGTACCGCATACCAAAGTACCGTGGAAACTGCCTAGAAAACATCAACCTGTTCATATTTTTTATAACAGTCTCTTTTGTGGGGCCGTTCTACTTTGTCACATGGGTTGTGCTGTGACTCAGAACTGACTCTATGACACACAACAACAACGATTTAAACAAATATTAAAGAATTATCTCCCAGTCATGTTTCCAGATTTTTCAATGGTAGTTCTAATGAATGAGTAGAAAATATATGGAATTGACCAGTAATTTACAAAGTATAGTAGTTGCTTTTGCTGTTTCAAGCAGAAAAAAAATAATTATTCTTCACGTTCAATGACAGAAGGTAAGATCATAGGCTCTGGAGTCAGACTTCTTGTTAAGTGTCATCAAGTCGGTTCCGATTCATAATAACCCTGTATATGGTTTTTGAGGAGCGGCTGGTAAGCTTGAACTGCTAGCCTTATGGCACAAACCAACCTTGCAGTCTAGTGCATTAGCCAGGTCTCCTGGAGTCAGGCTTACCACCTAGGTTTTAATTCTGACCTTAATACTTTCTGGCTGTATAGTATTGGGCAATCAATTACTTAACATCAGTGAGCTGCAGTTTCCTCACTTACTTTATAGGACTGCTGTGATCATTTAAAGTTAATGTATGTAAAGTTCCTAGAAGAGTACTGGGCTTACATTAAATGCTCAATAAAAGTTATCCTTTATTTTACTTTTACATGACATTTACTAAGATATTACATCTTTTGACCAATAAAAGAATATTAAGATTGTTTAATTATGTGCCCTTTAAGTTTTTGGTTTTGTATAATTAAAATATGTATAGAAAAATGTATGACCTATTAAAAGTAATTTTCTCTTGGAGGAGGTATGGGGTGAGTAGGATTACCATGATTTCTTATTGTAAAAATTTCTGAATGATTTAATACTGGGAAAAATGTAAATTTCCACACATTCATAGTCCTTTTGTTTTTGTTTTGTTGTTTTACAAAAAAGGATCATATAAAATGTATTGTTCAGCTAGACTTTTACAAACTGATATAGATTCCCCAAACTGTATTTATAGCCCAATCTCATTTGTCTTAATGGCAACATATTATTTTGTTATATGGCAAGTTTTGTTTTATCACTTTCTTAATTGCTAGATGTTTAGGTTTTCTTCAGTTTTTTGGTTTTACAGTAGCATAGCAAACCTAGCTCCTATATCTTTTGTCATCTGTATTTTAGTAATATCTACTCCTAGAAGTGAATTTTTGAGTCAAAAAAAATACATGCATTAAAGATTTTAATAAATAATACCAAATTCCCCTCAAAAAGGTTTTTGTGAAATTTATATAATAAGCATGTGTCTTTAATTCACTTTACTTTGTAATTAATGTTTGTAATCAGAAAAAATATATACATATTAAGACTTAAAATAAGGAGTAAATGCCATGACTGAGGGGAAGAAAAGATGCTCAGTATAAAAAAAAGAAACATGATTTCAGTGATGTTTTCTTTGAGTACTTAGAAGTAATTTCTGATGAACCACTGAAATTGTTTTCTTTGTTAATAATTCAAGTTTTTCTTGTTCTTTTTAAGGAAGCTTTCTCTGTCTACAAACTGCATTGAGAAAATTGCCAACCTGAATGGCTTAAGTAAGTGATACACAGTTTAACAGATGGTTCTTGGATTTTCTAGTTATTGGAATAAACATTCCAGAGATACTAAGTAATTCCAGAAGCTGGCACCTGTTTTAGCCCAGTAATTGTAAAATAATAGAGAGAATATATAAGCCATATGTCTTGAATTTTATTAGCCAAAGAAAATTAGAAATAACATGAGACCTGAACATTTTAAAACTTTATAGAGTTAGAATTGAGACGTGTTGAATAGAAAATCTGTTTTCTCATTTCCTTGTTTAGATTTGTCTTTTGAGTATATTTTCAAACTTGTTCTGGTCAAAATAGAATTCCTCACCATCCCTCTTCTTGCTGTGGTCCTTTGTTGGTGATACCAGCATTCTCTCAATTGTCACGGCCTCTAACTGCCCAAGGATTCCTAAGGCTGCTGGAACAAATTACTACAAACTTGGTGATTTAAAACATCAAATTTATTTTCTCATAGTTCTGGAGACCAGAAGTCCAGAATTAGTTAAATTGGGCCAAAATCAAGGTGTTGGTAGAAGCATACTCCCTGTAGGGGAGAATCTATTCCTTGCTTCTTCCAGTTTTTGGTGACTATCTATATTCTTTGACTCGTGGCCACAGTACTCCAGTCTCTGCTTCTGTGATCACATTCCGTTCTCCTTTTCTGCCTGTGTCACATCTCCCTCTGCCTTCCTCTTGCTATTAAGAGCTGTCAAGTCAATTCCGATTCATAATGATCCTGAGTAGGGTTTCTGAGGCTATTAGTCTTTGCTGGAGCAGAAAGCCTCCTCTTTATCCCTTGGAGCAGCTGATAAGCTCAAACTGCCAACCTTGTGATGAGCAGTCCAGTGTTTATCCTACAGAGTCACCATGCTCCCCTGCCTTCCTTTTCTAAAGATACAATAATGGCGCTTAGGGCCCATCTCGAGAATCCAGGATAATCTTCCCATTCCCATTTTAAGATCCTTCATAACATCTACATAGTACTTTTTTTTGCCATATAAGGTAACATTCTTAAGTCCTGACTGGAAGACACTTAACAACAACAGAAACACCAGTCTTTTGGAGGACCATTATTCAGCTCACCATCCTCCCTCCAGCCTTTGAAGTCCTACATCCACATTCGTCACTAAATTCTGTTAGCTTCTCTTTGAAGAAGCTCTCAAATAATTTGTTGGCTTTTCCATTCTCAGCAACTTCAGCTCCCATCATTTCCCCTCTTAGATCATGCTTTTCAAGCATTAAAAAAATATATTAATTTCCACAGTAATACATTTGAATACAAAACTTAGTATACTAATTCATATAAATGCATATATCAATTACACGTAAACATTATATACTTATATAAGGGTAATTAAAAAAGCGGAGCTAGAATGCTTAAAAGCGAGGCTGGCAACACTTCAACTCACATACTTTGGACATGTTCTCAGGAGGGACTGATCCCTGGAAAAAGATATCAGACTTGGTAAAGCAGTGGGTCAGTGTGAAAGGAAGATCATCACCAAGACGGACTGATTCACTGACTGCAACACAAACACAATTATGAGAATGGCTCAGGAGTGTGCAGTGTTTTGCTCTGTTGTACATAGGGTCATTATGAGGTGGGACTGACTCAAGGGTACCTAACAACACCAACAACTATATAATTCATATCTAACTTTATTTCTTTTGTTCATTCATTGTTCCCAAAATATTAGTTCCCTAAGAGCAGAAATTTTTATCTACACTGTTCACTGTTTATCACTGTTCTTAGCATATAATAATAGATGCTTAGTATGTGTTAAATGAATGAATTTTTGAATAAGCTTTTTATTCTGCATGAATAGAAAAAAAGAAAATGGTAATGTTTCCATAGTAAACTTTAAATAATAATTGATTATATGATTTTTTTTACATTTATTAATTTATAGTTCTATAAGGTCTTGTTTCAATATTTAAACCATTTTTCATGAAATAATTAAGTTGTCATGAATTAAGTAGTTAAACCATTTTGCATGAATTAAGGTATTTTATTTGAAAGATCAATATTTCTCTAGAGAATTTGAAATAATTTATTAAATTAAATAAATTAAGGCCAAAGTGTGTTGTTATTCAGTGCTGTTGGGTCAGTTCCGAGTCATAGAAACCCTGTGTAGGGTTTCCAAGGAGCATCTAGTAGGTTTGAACTGCAGACTCATGGTCCATTGCTGATCCTATAGTGCCACTCCATACACCAACACACGCATACACATCATTGATTGTGTACTTACCATGGATCAGGTATTATACTGACTGTTTTAAATAATTATCCCGTTTAATCCTGATAGCCCTCTAAAATAGACATTATTACTACCCATTTTACATGAATTTCAAAGAAATGAAGTTACTTCCCTAGAGCGTTGGGATTGGAGGCCAGTGACGTTGTATCTGTCCTGAATCCCTAGATTATAGATGTTCTGTAGCATTGCTGTTAGTGGGGCTTTCTGCATTGAGAGAACACATGTAATGTGCTTTGGAATGTGGCTAGCATGGAGGAACTGAATTTACCATTGTAATTGAACTTTAACTAATTTAAATATAAATAGCTACATGTGGCTAGTGACTACAATAATGGATAGTGTAGTTACAAGGTTTAAATTCTAAAAACTAAATGTATGACGTATACAAAAGTAATCAAAATAGTTTCTTGAGACAGAAATGAGGTTTTCTATGTTATATTGGAAATCTTTTTTTTTTTTTAGAAAAATAATACTTGCACATGGTTTCATTGAAATGAAAAGGAATTACAATGAAAACTAAGTTTTCCTTTAATAACAGACTCTCAGTTTCTCCCTAACGGCCACCACTGTTTCTACGTTTTTTAATTCTTCCAGAAGTAATCTATGGCAGTACACGTTTACAGCCCTGGAAATTGTATGCCGTATTGCTATGAGTCGGAACTGACTCCATGGCACACCACCACCATATAAATACAAATATTTGCAAATGATACAAATAGGAATTTCAAAACAAATTTTAATTTAAAATAACTTACAATCTAGTTATTTTAAAAATTGAAGACAAAAGACTTTTCAAATACTAGAGTAATATGATTGCACTCATACTGTGGTATAATTTGAAATAGTCATAGTCCCAAATTTAAAGTTAAAATCTTTACTTTTATTTTATCCCTACAGTACTTTGGTTGTTATTGTTGTTAAGTTCTGACTCCTAGCAACCCTGTATAGGGTTTCTAAGGTGAGGCTGGTGAGCTTGAACTGCAGAACCTGTGGTTCAGACCAACCTTGAAGTCCAGTGCTTATCCTATGGCGCCACACCAGGAGTGGATACACTTAAATGGTTGGTTAATAAAAGTGTTTTTATTAAATTGATGGCTAATAAAATATTTTTATTAGCCATCAATTTAAGTTCTGTTTGAACCATAAGGTTGGTGGTTCAAGCTCACCAGCTGCTCCTCAGAAACCCTTGACAGTGTCAGTATGTGTTGGAACCAACTTGATGGCACTTAACAACAACATTCCAAATAACTCAGCACTGGACTAGGAACCACAAGGTCGCCAGTTCAATCCCATCAGCTGCTCCTTGGAAACCCGATGTATGGTTCCTATGAGTTGGAACTGACTTGACAGTACTTAACAACAACATTCCAAACAGCTGGGAGAAACATGAGGCAGTCTACTTCCATAAAGATTTATGGCCTTAGAAACCCTATGAAGCAGTTCTAGCCTATCCCACAGGGTTGCTAGGAATTGAAATCGACTCAACAGTAGTGGGTTTGTTTGCTTGTTTCTAAAAACTATATATACAAAACCCCCAACTATATGTGTGTGTGTGTGTGTATCTATCTGTATCTCTATGTGTGTTTATATATAGAGAGATACAGATATACACACACATATGGACTCCTGGTGTGATGCTTTGGATCAGCATTGGACTTTGGACCACACAGTTGGCATTTCAAACCCACCAGCTGCTCCTCAGAAACCTTGTACAAGGTTGCTATGAGTTGGAACTGACTTGACAGCACTTTACAATAGCAACTATATATATATATATATACATATATATATACACACACACACATGTGTGTGTATACACATATATGTGTATGTGTGTGTGTGTGTGAAGGAACCCTGGTGGTGCTGTATGATAAGCACAACCACAAGGTTGGTGGTTACTTGCTGTCCTCACTGCCTTCAGGTTGATTCTGACTCATAGAGACCCATATAGAGTTTCCAGTGGGATTGAACCACCAACATTGTGGTTAGCAATTCAATGCCTATCCTGATGTGATGCTATAGGATAAGCACTGGACTGCTGACCAAAAGTTTAGTGGCTCAAACCCATCAGCTGTACCTTTTGGAAACCCTATATCTGGTTGCTATGAGTTGGAACTGACTTGGTGGCTCTTAACAACAGTATATGGGGAGTGTGGTAGCTCTGTAGAATAAGCACTGGAATGCAAGTCACAAGGTCAGCAGTTCAAGTCCATCAGCTGCTCCACAGGAAAAAGATGCTTTCTGCTCCTGCAAAGATTTATAGCCTTAAAAACACTCTACAGGGTAGTTATGAACTGGAACCAACTTAATGGCACTTAATGACAACAACAATTCCAAATAGCTAACCATTTCTTTCTTTAATATTGTTAAGTGCCGATGGGTTGTTTCTGACCCATAGTAACCTGCATAGGGTTTCTGAGGAGTGGCTGGTGAGCTTGAACCACCAACCTTGTGGTTCAAACTGAATTTGCCATCCAGTGCGTTAACCCATAGCATCATACCAGGACTCCTTAATGGCATGATGTAATTATACTTTTAGTGTTTACTTTAGATGATATGTCAATTTATTTCTTACTTGATTACCAAGTTTTATTGACATATCCTTTCTTACTCATTATATAAAGATATTTGGTATATAAAATTCATGAAGGCTTTATTACGATATACTAGATTTACATTTGTGTGATATGATTCTCATAAACAAAAAATTGCTTTCTCTCCACTACAGAAAACTTGAGGATATTGTCATTAGGAAGGAACAACATAAAGAACTTAAATGGACTGGTAGGTTACTATTTATTGCTTAAATATATATACACAAATACTTTTTTTCTCAGTATAATACAGATAATACTTGTTGCAGAAACTTTACAAAATAAAATTACTGAAAAAGCCACTGGCAATTTTAATTTTGCTTTACATCTTTCTTATTGATAGTGAAATCATACTTCACATATTGTTGTGTATCTCCTTTTTCATTTAAGATGTTATCATCATTTTTCCATGTCATTCATTCAACAGATTCATACATTGTATTTCCTGAATACTTACTTTAAACCCGGTACTGCAAGTGCAGCTGAATATGAAACAAAGTCCTTGTTCTCACAGAACTTACATTATAGGAGAGGAAGACAGACAAATGTAGTTGTATAATAAGTCAAGTAGTGATTAATATAATAAAGAGAAAAAACAGAGTGATAAGTTGTTTCAGGGGATGTGAAGATGCAGGCCACAAATGCTCCAGACTAAAGGAGACAGCAAGTGGTCTGAAAACTGGAGCCATTTAATTTGCTTGAATAAGAGCAAGTAGAATTGAAAGAGGAAGGAGAGTGGATCACAGTGCATTGGAAAGAGCCAGGAACCAGGTTACACGAGGCCTTATAAGCCACAATCAAGATCTTAGGTTTTTTTCCAAGTGGGTTAGAAAGTCATTGGAGGTGTTTGATCATAGGATCTGACTTAAATTTTAAAAATAATTTCAACCATGCCCTTTTTAATGATAGCATAATCCTCTATTTTATTAGTGTACTATAATTCATTTAAACCAGTTATTTATTGTTCAATATTTAGTTTGTTATTATATTGGAGTTATTGTACTCAATGCTGTTATGAGTCTCCTTTTAGCTATATTATTGCACACATCCATGAATAATTCCTTGGATAAATTCCTAGAATGGAATTGCTGGGTCAAATGGTATGAATTTCTTTTAAGGCTTTTGTGACATATTATCAAGCTGATCAATGGGAAAATCTGTAGCATTCTCTACTACCACCAGTAATGTATGCAAGGCCCCATTTCTTCCTAACAACTGTGGGTACTTAACATTTTTGACAATATGTTTTATTCGCATATTTATTGATCATTTGTATTTCCTTCCAAATAAGGTAAGCTAGAACAGTATTAAAAAACTAGTCATGATTTCAGGGAAAATGAAGTTAATTTCTTTTTCTTGCATCTGTTCCAAAAAGACAGTACAATATTTTTTAAAGTTTATTGTTAAAGAATTCATGAACACTCTGATATTTTTTATGAATCCACTGTCTTTCTTCCCTCCCTCCATTAAGTTCAGCTTCTATTTTATTAAGCGCAAATGGGGTTGAAACTGCAATGATTTTCAGTAATAACTTTCCAAGACCAGAAGCTACAGATACCTGAATAGGAATCAGTGTTTAGAGGTGAAATTTTGGAATCATCTTGATAAAATGAGTAAATAAAATTTGAGTATATAAAGTTTACTAATAACTTTATAAAACACTTGAAAATTCTTTAAGATTAATTCTGGCATTAAATAAAGCAGCTTTCCTTCTAGCAAATAATAGCCAGCAGGTGAATTATTAGTTTTCTAATTAGATATGATGAATAGAATCCTTAATGATCTATTAAAAGATTGATACATTTAAAGATATTTTGCCAGCTCATCATCCTCTGAGCCATAAATAATGTCATAATGTCAATTCTACAAGTCATTATAGTATAAAAATTCAGCGTATATTATACTTTAGGTTAAAAATTACTTTGAAGTAACTATAAGGGAAGAATTTGCAAATTAATGTTTCCCCAAATTTTTAGGATCAATATGGTAAACCCTTCACGTTCCCTAGATACTTACAGAACCCCAGTTCTCACGTATGTCTGTAGTATGGAATTTCTCCTGTGAAATCTAATATATTAACCAGATAACACAAATAAATTATGCAGGAATAAAGGCATATATGAACTTCTGGTGTGGTGCTGTAGGATCAACATTGGACTGCAAATCACAAGGTCAGTAGTTCAAACCTACCAGCTACTCCTCAGAAACCCTATATGAGTTGGAACCAGCTCGACAGCACTTAACAACAACAAAGGCGTATATGAGATTTTATCAGACTCAACTATTACTTCCTTAGATCTCTTCACTTTCTATACACGCCTATCAATAGGATCCAACAGTTGGATTTCTTTGAGTGTGTGTGGGTACATACACCATAGTCAGCAGTTTGGTAGTCAAAGCTGCAGAGAAGGGTAGATGCTGGGCTTCAAAAAGGTTCACCTTCTGGTTGAATTATTCATTGAGATACAGCAGCCTTTTCACAATTTAAATGGCTGCCACCTCAGTGAATTTCAGATCACTACCTTAGAGTGGAAAACAGAATGTTAACTTGAAAGGAGGGTGTTTATTTACTGCTTAGGAATACTGCTTATTAAGGCCCATTATAAGTCCATTAATATATATGATCTGGTTGCTGCCTTCCTTTGTGATCTTGTTTCATGTTACTCTTTGTCCTCGTTAGAAATCTCCAATCACTGACCTTCTTTCTTTTTCTTTAGTCTGCAACTGTGCTCTTTTGGATTTCCACTTTGCTAGTTCCTTAACTGAAGTCCTGGTGTGGTGCCATAAGATAAGCACTGGACTGCTAACCATGAGTTCAGCAGTTTAAACCCACCAGCTGTTCTTTAGAAACCCTATACAGGGTCGCAATTAGTTGGGACCATTTTGATGGAACTTAACAAGGTCCTTAACTGGAGTCCTTGTGTAATGTTGTAGGATAAGCACTGGACTACTAACCACAGTGTCAGTGGTTCAAACCTACCAGTTGCACTTCAGAAATCCTATCTAGGGTTGCTATGAGTCAGAATTGACTCCACAGCTTGTAACAACAACAGTTCCTCAACTCATTAACAATCTGTGTTATGCAGATGACATGATCTTGCTGACACTGTGAAAAGGATTTGAGATACTTAGTGATGAAGATCAAAGACTATGGCACTTGCGATCCTTACTGATATGGATTGAACCTCAATATAAAGAAATCAAAAATCCTCACAACTGTACTAATAAATAACATCATGACAAATGGAGGAAAGATGGAAGTCATCAAAGTCTTCATTTTGCTTGGACCCATAATGAATGCTCATGGAAGCAGCAGTCAAGAAAACAAATGATATATTGCATTAGGAAAATCTGTTGCAAAAGACCGCCTTAAAGTGTTCAAGAGCAAAAATGTCACTTTGAGGATGAAGATATGCCTGACCCAAGCCATGGTATTTTCAATAGCCTCATACACATTAGACAGTGAACAAGGAAGACTAGAGAATTGATACATTTGAATTATGGTGTTGGAGAATATTGAAAGTACCACAGACTGCCAGAAGAACAAACAAATCTGTCTTGGAAGAAGTCTAGCTAGAGCGCTTCTCAGAAGAGAGAATGGCAAGCTTTCATCTCTCGTACTTTGGCATGGTGACAGGAAGTTCCGGGAGAAAAGAACATCATGCTTGGTAAAGTGGAGGGTCAGGGTAAAGTGGAAGGTCACAGGAAAAGAAGAAGGCTCCCAACAAGATGGATTGACACAGTGGCAGCAACATTGGACTCAAATATAACAATTGTGAGGATGGCACAGAACCAGGCATTGTTTTGTCCTGTTGTGCATAGGGTCGCTATGACTCAGACATTGCCTAACAACAGCCCCTTTTTAACCTTCCCATCGCAGCTCAGATGTCACTTCCTCAAAGGTAACCCTGTATCTAAATTCTTACTTATTCTCTCTCGCTCTTGATCTAACACACACGTTGTTGTTGTTGTGAAGTGCTGGCAAGTTGGTTCCGACCCATAGCTACCCTGTATAGAGTTTCCGAGGAGCAGCTGGTGAGCTTGAACTGCCGACCGTGCAGTTCAAACAGCTTTGCAGTTTGGTGAATTAACCCACAGTGCCACACCAGAAAGATGGAAACTCCACCTTCAGAAGTGTATAGACCTAGATGGAAGAAATATCAGGAAATTATAGCTTCAGATTTTGGTATTTTGGGTTACTGGTTTTATGATTTTTATAGCAGTGCTTTCTGACTTACCCTTATTTAGACAAATATCTGTAATATATGTTTGTACTGATATTGTTGTTGTCAAGTGCCATCAAGTCAGTTCTGACTCAGCAATCTTGTCAGTAGTGACTGGTGGGTTTGAACTGCCAACCTTGTGGTTAGCAGTCCAGTGCCATAAGACTCCATACTGATACTATAATCTTCTGTAGTTTAACTTTTTCACTCAACAGTATACCAGGACACTATACCAATATGTTCTTTCATATCCTTCATGCAGTTTAATGCTTTTTGTAAATATATACATAACAAAACATTTCAATATTTTTCACATGTACAGTTTAGTGATTATGCTCATCATGTAGTTCAACTATCTGTTCCCAAATTTTTCCATCACCCTTAATAGAAGCTCATTGTCTCTATGCAATGACTTTCTTTCCCCCTCTATCCCACCCACCCTTATTAGATTTATTTTGATAGTATCAGTGTACACTAGACTTGTATTCTTCACCATACTTACTTAGTCTATATACTGAGCAAATAATCTGAGAGGCTAGATTATATGAAGAAGAATGTGGCATTGTGCAGATATGCTGATGATGCAATCTTGCTTTCTGGAAGCAAAGAGGACTTAAAATACTTAATGATGAGGATCAAAGACTATAACTTCAGTATGGATTGCACCTCAGGGCAAAGAAAACAAAAAATCCTCACCACTGGACCAGTAAATAACATCATGATAAACAGAGAAACAAATTGAAGTTGTCAGAGACTTCATTTTGCTTGGATCCACAATCAACACTCATGAAAGCAGCAGTCAAGAAATCAAAGGATGTATTAGGCAAATGTATTAGGCACAAGACCTCTTTAAAGTGTTCAAGAGCAAAGACACAAGTTTGAGGACTAAGGTGTGCCTGACCCAAGCCATGGTATTTTCAGTAGCCTAATATGTATGTGAGGACTCCTGGTATGGCACTGTAGGATCAGCACTAGACTGCGAGCCACAAGGTTGGCAGTTCAAACCCACCAGCTGCTCCTTGGAAACCCTATACAGGATCGCTATGAGTCGGAACCGACTTGATGGCACTTAACAACAAAAATATGTATATCAAAGTTGGATAATGAATAAGGAAGACCACAGAAGAACCGATGCATTTGAGTTACAGTGTTGGAGAAGAATATTGAAATTACCATGGGCTGCCAGAAGAACAAACAAATCTGTGTTGGACGAAGTACAACCTTGTCTCTCGTACTTTGGACTTGTTATCAGTACGGATTATTTCCTGGAGAAGGACATCATGCTTGGTACCATGGAAGGTCAGTGAAAAAGAGATGTGTTGGCACCGTGGCAGCAGGAGTAGGATCAAGATGATCAATTGTGAGTATGGCGCAGGACCAGGCAAGGTTTGTTCTGTCATCTGTCATGCATAGAGTTGCTGTGGGTTGGAGCTGAGTTGACAGTACCTAACAACAACCTTTTTATTTAAATTCTCATTTATTTATGCATTATTTTCCTGATTTCCTTTATTTCTTTCTCTGTAATTTTCTCTAGTTCTTTGAGCTTCTTTAATAGGGTTTTATTATACTCTTCCAACCTTCCATAAATGCAATTTCTTGTCCTTTGCCTTGTTCATGTGTATGGACCATCATTTCCAGTTTTCTTTGTGTGCCTTATGATATTTTGTTGCATCCAGGGCATTAAAATCTTACAAAGTGTTAGCTTTCTCAATTCTCTCAAAATATTCAGTGTTTTTGACAATGCTGCTTTCTATAAGAAATGCCTTATAGAAGATGGGCAGAGCCTTCAACTTTGCTTACTGCTTCCTCCCTTTCTTTGATAACTGTTTCAGTCCAGACTTCAGCCGTTAAGAGTCCATCCTTCAGCAGTTCCTAAACAGAACAGAGAACGCACACTTACCTGTCTACCTTCCAGAGAGTGCAGACTTCAGTTTTTGGCTATTGCTCTCACCCCTGCTCTCTGAGAGCTGTGTTTCTGCCCTTAGCTAATCTACTGTTATTAAAGGAGCGCTGGTAGTGTAGTGGTTATTAATTGGGGTGCTAATCTCAAGGTCAGCAGTTTGGAACTACCAGCAGTCCTGCGGGAGACACATGAGGTTTTCTGCTCCCATAAAGATTTATAGCTTCGGAAGCCCTATGCAGTGTTGCTATGAGTTGTAACAGACTCCACAGCACACCACCATCACCACCACTGTTTTTAGGGTTGCTGTTATGAGTCCATCCAGCAGTACCACAGAATAAAGGTCTGATTATGTTTCTGTCAAGATTATAGCAAGAAAAGGGATTCTGCTCCGTAGCACAAGGAGTGGCCATGAGTCAGAATGGACTCCAGGCAATGATCTTGTGTTTTGTTTTGTTTTAAATTGCTCAAAAAGCCCCCCCCAAAATGAACCACTCTCTGGTAGAAGTCCCCAGTCCTGGGTTGCCCCTCTCCTTCCCTGGCTTTGTGAGGGCCCTCTCACAGCTGGGACTCCCAGCATGTCCCTGTGCCTCAGGCAAGCTGTGAGCTAAGTGGGCCTGCAGCAATCATCTGTTCACCATGCTTGGACTGGGAAGGTTGGGCACACCTGAAACGGGGAAGGTTGAGCTAGCTTTCCTTTTTATTTTGGAGCCAGATCTTGAGGCCCTACTCTGTTCACGGGTGAGCTGCACATTGGCTGGAGTGTGTATTGCTGCAGTTATTTGCAGAAGCCAGCCATCTCACTGACAGGGAGGGCAGTGTTAGGACAGTAGAAGAGATGCCTTTCCTACAGTATGAGATTCCTTATTGACGTGGTTCCATCTGCAGCTCCTTGCTGCTGCTGTCTGCTCACATTCAGAGCCCTACAGGACCATGCACAGACTTCACATTGCATTTCCTGGTGTACATCTGGGAAGGGTCAGAAACCTAGACCTATTCACATTGCCATCTTTCCAGAATCTACATGTCGAGAAATTTGGAAGACAGCTTCCTGGCTAACTGATTGGAAGAGATTCATTGTTTTGCCCATTCCAAAGAAAGGTGACTCAAGAGAATGTAGAAATTATGTAACAATAACATTAATGTCACATGCAAGTAAAATTTTGCTGGAGGTAATTTAAAAATGATTGCAACAGTACATCGGCAGGAGCTGCCCGAAATTCTAACTGGATTCAGAAGAGAACGTGGCATCAGGGATGTTATTGCTGACCTCAGATGAAACTTTGTTGGAAGCAGAGAATACCACACAGATGTTTACTTGTGCTTTATTGACTGTGCATAGGCATTCAACTGTGTGGATCATTACAAACTCTGGATAACATTGTGAAAAATAGGTATTTCAGAATAATTAATTATGCTCATGTAAAACCAAAAGGCAGTTATTCAAACAGAACAAGGGGATATTGAATGGTTGTAAATCAAGAAAATTATGTACCTGGGTTGTATCCTTTCACCATACTTGTTCAAAATCTGTATGCTGAGCAGATAATCTGAGAAGCTGGTTTATATGAAGAACAATGTGGCATCAGGAGTGGAGGAAGACTCATTAACCACCTGTAATACACAGATGATGCAACCTTGCTTGTTGAAAGCAAGAGAACTTGAAATACTTTCTGATGAAGATCAAAAACTACAGCTTTCAGTATGGCTTGCACTTCAATATAAAGAAAACACAAATCCTCACAACTAGATCAATAAATAAGATCATGATAAATAGAGAAAAAATTGAAATTGTCAAAGACTTCATTTTACTTTGCTCCACAATCAACACTCATGGAAGCAGTAGTTAAGAAATCAAATGAAGTATTGCATTAGGCAAATCTGCTACACAAGATCTCTTTAAAATGTTGAAGAGCAAAGATGTCACTTGGAGGACTAAGGTGCACTTCACCCAAGCCATGGTATTTTCATTTGCCACATATACATGTGAAAGCTAGACAATGAATAAGGAAGACAGAAGAATCCATGGCAGCAACAATGGGCTCAAACATAACATTTGTGAAGATGGCGCAGGACTAGGCAGTGTTTCTGTCTTTCATGTTTAGGGTCACTGTGAGTCGGAACAGACTCGATGGCATGTAACAACAACCACAACGATGAGGTGGTAGTTCCTCCCCACTCATATTTGGAGTGTTCCCCAACCTGAGGGATCTTCAGCACTACGTCGGACAATGTTCTGCTGTTTAGAAGGTTTTCAGTGGCTAACTCTTCAGAAGAGTTAGTTTGGGAGCTCCACTCAAACCTGTCCACCATGGAGGACTTTGCTGGTATTTAAAATATCAGTGGCATTGCTTTCAGCATCACAGCAACCCACAAACCACCACAGCACAACAAACTGACAGACGAGTGGTAGACGACAAGTATTGTCAAACGTTAATGGTAACCCATTGGTAGTGAACATGCAGGTGTTGATTATAACATTCTTTAGATTTTTTTTAATGTTTGAAAATTTTTATAATTTCAGAGAAAAACCCCACAAACCCTGAATTTTAGGCCTCATTTTATTATTTAGTAGTAGTTTTGTGTTTGGTTTTTTTTAAAAGCCTTACTTTTTCTGTAATAGACATAAAAAGCCTACCTTACCTACCTTAGATGTTATAAGATTCAAATATTAGAATGTATGTTGTTAAGTGCCATTGAGTCAGTTCTGACCCATAGCAACCCTGTATAGGAAAGTAATTTGCGAACTATATTATTCAATTTAGTTGTTGTTGTCAAGTGCTGTTGAGTCGGTTCCAACTCATAGTGACCCTGTATAGGGTTTCCGAGAGGAGCAGCTGGTGAATTTGAACTGCCAACCTTGAGGTTCAAACAAACCTCGTGATACAGTGCTTATCCTATAGCACCATACCAGAACTCCCACACTATTTAATAAAAGTGGCAAAATAGTACTGTTATTTGTCCCTCTTGATGATTTCTGTATTCTTTGTTATGGTTTATGAGTGTCCGCTTAATCAAACCATCTTAGAAAATAAAAAGTTTAAGTCAGTCTGAACAGTAGAAGAGATTGTTCTACTTGTCTTATGTAATGAGAAAAAGCCCCACCCACCCCCACCAGCCTTCAGCTCTCCTGAAGGGTAGGCAGGTGTCTCTGTTTTCTAGAAAGGCTGTTGTCTATAGATTTATATAAAGAAGGAGACAAAGGAAAAGCTTCAAAGCAAGCATAGAAATCAGATTGCTTTCTCTTTCAGGAAGTAGTAGGGGACACATTAGAAGAACTGTGGATCTCCTACAATTTTATTGAGAAGTTGAAAGGGATCCACGTAATGAAGAAACTGAAGATTCTCTATATGTCTAACAACCTAGTGAAAGACTGGGGTAAGCTAACACTGGCTTTTTGCTCGCTTTCTACTTCCTGCTTACTGAATAGGCCCAATAAAGAAAAAGATGGAAAATGGGAACTATTTTTATGAGCACAGAGATCAATAGTTCTGAGTTACTACATTTCCACTAAATGCTTCATGTTGTTATTGTTAAGTGCCATCAAATAGGTTCCAATTCATAGCAACACTATATAGGGTTTCCAAGGAGTGGTTGGTGGGTTTGAACCACCAATCTTGCAGTTAGCAGTCCAATGTTTATCCTACAGTGCCATATGAGGACTCCAATTATTTGATGTTTATGTTAAACATTTACTTAGAATAAATATAATTATGACCTTGTTATTATTACATCCTACTGAGTTGCTTCCAACTCACAGCAACCCTGTATGGGGTTTCCAAGGAGCGGCTGGTGAGTTTGAACAGCTGACCTTGCATTTCAAACCAACTTGCAGGTCCAGTGCTTATCCTACAGCGCCAAACCAGCATTCCTCAATTCTAGCCTTGGACCTATTAAAAAGGGTGAAAAAATGTTAAATTATTGCCTAAAGATTATAAGAAACCAATTTTAATTTGATAATTCTTGTTATTGAACTTGAAAACTTACTTGATACTACTTTGTGCTTTTTTTTGTCCATATTTAAAACATTTTTGTTGTTCAGACTGTACACAGCGAAGCATGCCATGTCAGCAGTGTCGCCATGTCAAAGGTAGTGGCACTGATGACGATCTTTCAGTCATGCAGTCATTCTCCTGCTCCTTCTGTGAACTCTTCCTCCCCCATCACCGTAAACTCATGGCCTCAGAAGGTTCCTGTCTAATCTTTCAAGTTGCTGGTGTCGGTTTGATTCTGTATAGATCTTAGAAGAGAATAATGCTCAAGGCAGCCCTTCTTTGTTTCGCTTTTTAAATTGTACTTTATTCCTTCAGCATTTACTAAAGCCTTATATTATGTGCCATGAGCTGCGTCAGGCTCTTGAGATACGTTTAGTGAGTATGACGCTGTCACTGCCCTCAACTTCAGAGGATGTTCGCTTGACACAGCAGTAATTCTGAAATCGTGTGATAAGTTGTGCAATAGAGCTTTCAATGTGTTGCTTTAAGAATTCAAAGGGGGGTTGAAGTTGGGGAGAGAGAAGGCCTCTCGGGCCTCGCCATCGCCCACTGCCCCCCCCCTTCCATCCTGAGCCACAGCAGCAGTTCCTGAGCATCGCTCCAGAGCAGATCTGATAATGGGCTGCATTAAAAGCAAAGACAACCAGAGTCCAGCCATTAAATACAGCACTGAGAACACTACAGTGCCTGGCAGCACAAGTGCCAGCCACCTTGGAGCAGAATACACTTCAGTGGCACCATCGTCTTCAGCAAAGGGGGCATCTGTTCGTTCTAGCAGTCTTTCCATGACATATATGGGGGATCCTCTTTTGGAGGAACAGCTTCCTCATTCTCAGTGGTACCCTACTAGTTTCATAGGTGCTGTTACTGTATTTGTGGCCTTATATGATTATGAAGCTAGAACTACAGAAGACCTTTTCATTTAAGAAGGGGAAAAGATTTCAGATCATTAACAATATGGAAGGAGACTGATGGGAAGCCAGATCAACTGCTCCAGGAAAGAACGGTCATATCCCCAGCACTTATATACTCCTGCAGATTCTCTTCAGGCACAAGAGTGGTATTTTGGCAAAATAGGTAGAAAAGATGCTGAAAGATTACTTCTGAATCCTGGGAACCAAACGAGTGAAACTATTAAAGGTGCTTATCACCTCTGTGTTTGTAATTGGGATGAGGTTCTTTGTGTTGTTAAGTGCTGTTGAGTCGGTTCTGACCTATAGCGACCCTATATGGGGTTTTCTAGGAGCAGCTGGTAAGCTTGAACCGCCAACCTTGTGGTTCAAACCAAACTTGCAGTCCAGCATATTAACCCACAGTGCCATACGAGGACTCATGGGTGGGATGAAGTAAAGGATGACAATGTGAAACACTACAAAATGAGAAAACTTGACAATGGTGGATACTATACCACAACGGGAGCACAATTTGATACTCTGCAGAAACTGGGGAAACACTACCCAGGACACGCCAATGGTTTATGCCATAAGTTAGCAGCTGCGTGTCCAACTGTGAAACCTCACACTCAAGGTCTAGCAAAAGATGCTGGGAAAGCCCTTGAGAATCTTTGTAACTAGAAGTTAAATTAGGGCAAGGATGCTTTCTTTGGTGAAGTATGGATGGATACATGGAATGGAACCACAAAAGTAGCAATCAGAACACTTAAACCAGGTTTAGTGATGCCAGCAGCTTTTCTTCAAGAGGCTCAGATCATGAAAAAATTTAGACATGATAAATCTGTGCCACTATATGCTGCTGTTTCTGAAGAACCAGTTCACATTGTCACAGAATTTATGTCAAAAGGGACCTTATTAGATTTCCTTAAAGAGGGAGATGGGAAGTATTTGAAGCTCCCACAAGTAGTTGATGTGGCTGCTCAAATTGCTGATGTTGATTGTTGAAAGAATGAGTTATATTCATCGAGACTTCTGGGCTGCAAATATTCTTATAGGAGAAAAATCTTGTGCACAAAATAGCAGATTTTGGTTTAGCGAGGTTAATTGAAGACAATGAAAATATTACAGGACAAGGTACAAAATTTACAATCAAATGGACAGCTCTGGAGGCTGCACTGTATGACTGATTTACAATGAAGTCTGATGTGTGGTCATTTGGAATGCTACAGACAGAGCTAGTAACAGAGTGCAGCATGCCATATCCCTGTATGGTAAACTGAGAAGTGCTCAACAGGTGGAATGCGGATACAGGATGCCTTGACCAGAATTCCTACATGAATTGATGAATCTTTGTTGGAAGAAGGACCCTGACGAAAGAAGGACCAGCATTTGAATATATTCAGTCCTTCTGCTATAGAGCTGCAGTGCCAGCCAAAACAAAGTATATGTCTGCACAGATCTGCCCAAACAGAAAGAACTTGTGTAGACTGCCTCACATATGTACAGAAATCAGAAGAAGACAATTGGCTTTACTCTCTATGGGTTTTTTTATGGTAAAGTGGAATTCCAGACATGATTGCACAAACCTTTTTTTTTTAACCAAGTGTTAAAATGTAAAGGACAAGACTATTGTTCCTTTTCCAGATTCAGAATTGTTCAAGGAAATGGTCATTATAGACCGAGTAAAAAGTTATGCTGTTAAGAAATCCTAAAATTAAGAAATTTCATGGGAACAAGCAATTCCATTCCAGTTTTTAGAAATTTCTTACATTCATTGTTTTCAAGTTTTTTTCTAAGTTGAACAGTTAATATGCAGTTGTAATATATGCCTCCTTTCACATGCAAATGGGCCAAGATTTGACAGATGCAAAAAGGAATATAAACAGCATCTAAAACTTGACAGCACATAACAACAACAACAAAACTTGATTACCTTCAGATCTCAACAGTAGAATTTGAAAGTATAGTGCGCTCTGTTAGCACTCATGCTCATGGTACGGGAAAGTAGAATAGGAAAATTGTCACTTTGAACCATTTTCTTAATAGTTCAATTTAGAATAAAGAAGGTAACTAGAAAATGAATCAATCTTTTATTAGGTTGTATTAAGACAAATAAAAGCCATCATAGAATTGAAATTATGGTAACCAATCCAAGGAGTAAACTGAATCTTTAGATAGCATGAAGAAGAAGACAATAGTTAAACAGTACTTTAAAAAACAATTACACTTGATGAAGGGTGAGCTATTCCTGATCTAGACTTCTGGAGATGGTGTGACAAATACAAAGTAGCACTGGGCCAGCTGTTCCGCAGGAGAAAGATGAGGTGTTCTGTTCCCATAAAGATTAACAGCCTCGGAAACCCTGTACAGACAGGGTCGCTATGAGTCGGAACCAACTCCACCACTGGGCCAGGGACTTGAATGCACTTTTGCTGTTACTGGAATATAGTAGACTAATAGAGAAGAAAATGTATTTAAAAAAATAGAATATGTGAGTTTTTATAGGTAAAGCAATGGAATGGAATGTTTAATGTTGGTTGATGCCATAGAGTGAGAAAATGGCTTTGCTGGCACTCAGAGCTCCTCACTGTGTATTCAAAGACTTTAAGAATTACAGGGCATAACTGAACACCGAATTTTTCCTAACATACATATTGCGTGTTATGTCATCAAAAGAGTGATGTTTTCACACTTAAATACAGTTACACGAGCATTTTTAGAACTTCAGTTTTCATATTACTATTTGAATCTACATTCACTTTTTAAATATACTTAGTGGTGATCATTTTTTTCCCTTTTAGAATATAGTTGATTTGGGGAGGAAAACGTTATTCAAAACAATAACAGTGGTGAAAAGGGATCGTTTTAACCCATTTAAAGTGCAGAAGTGAAACAGAAAGACTGACTTTTATGACTAACTCAGAAATAAATTCCAAAATATGAATTTAAGTGGCTTAAGTAGCTATCAAAAGAAAAAAATCTGGTAAATAGAAGTGTGATGTTTACATTTTTAAATATTTTTATAGTGTCACTTTATTCATCTATTGGAGGGAATTTAGGTTGTTTCCACCGTTTGGTTATTGTGAACTAATGCTACAGTAAACATTAGTGTGCACATCTCTTTTTTCTCTGCATTCAAGTATTTGGGGAATATAGGAATGCCAGTAGGAGAAATAAAGTCTTAATACATTCTGCAGTATGGACGGAATTCAAAGACATTATGCTATGTGAAATAAGGCCCACATATAGTTTACTAGTGGCTACCAGGGGCAGGAAGGAGGGAGCAAACAGAGGTTAGTGGTAATAGAAAAATAGCATTGATTAATGGTAGAGTTGCATAGTCAATTACTGTTAATTGCTATCAATAAACTGTATACTTGTAAAAAGTTGAGTTGACGAAGATTACGTGATAAACATATTTACCAAAAAAAATCCAAAAAGAATAGCTGAGGCTGATTTTGTACAACTAATCAACTCATGGGATTTGGTTTACAGGTTTTGGGTCATGGGTTCCTGGAACATCCCAGTTAATGAGCCCAGTAGCCAGTAGCATATTTAGTGCTTTGTCTTGTATCTTAGTTTGTTGCATAGTGCCTGAGATCTGTAATACAGAGTTTGCAAATGGTCATCCAAGGCACAGTAATTATTCACCTTGAGCAATAGAGGAATAATGAGAGTCAGGAATAGGAAGAGGATGTAGAATTTGTGACTGATTGCCTCCATAAACAACTACTTTCTTTGCCATGATACTAGAAGAATTAGATGGTACCTGACTAACATTTATTGAGCATTTTCAGCAAAGATTCTATTAAAGAATCCTGATAAAAGAAGGAAAATATAAAACAGGATTTCACATTCTCATGGAATTATTTCTGGAGTCATGGAAGGTATATGAATTCCTGAAACTATTACCCTGGTACCAACCCAGCTTACCAATTCAGTGCGGTTGAGAACAAACACAGCCTAAGTGAAGATAGAAAGTTTTACTCTGATTGGCTAAGCAGGAAGGAAGTTGGGACTAAGTCACCAAGACAAGCTTTCCAATTACAGGGTGGGTAGCTGATTTATATACACAGATCAGAACTTAAATGAGGGAAATTATTCATCTGAGCCCTGGTGTGGTACTGTGGGTTAATGCACCGGACTGCGAGGTAGGTGGTTCAGGCTCATGAGCCGCTTCTTGGAAACCCTACACAGGGTCACGCTGAGTCTTTCAGAAAGGACTCAGCAGTACTTAACAATAACAATAGGTACTTGAGAAGAGATACTGTGGTCATGAATATGCATGGGGTGGGGTTCAACAGAACCAGCCATTCCATGGCTTGCTTTGAAATGTGATCTGAGTACATCAAGATGATATCAATCTGGGAATTTTTTTGTTCCTTAACTAAAATTTCTTCATTCTGGGGTCAATTATGGTTCACAGCTTTATTACATGTGTATAATGGGCCAGATCTGGTTAAAACCAGTACTTGTCTTTGTCTTCACTGGGCCCACTGCAGTGGGGTATTTTTGTTTTTTTTTTTTGAGAAAACAGGTTAAGAGGAAATAAAGAGCAGAGAAACAGACTAATCATAAACCCCAAGCAGAGCGCACTGTTTGAACATCCATGGTAATCAGCCCAAGGGGGTAAACCGAGCAGAGAATAAGTTATGGATTCTATAAGACTACAAGATTAAACAAGCCCATGGGGTTTCAGCCCTGAGGTCATCTTTAAACTTTAAATCAAAAATGTCCCCTGAGGTCATCGAAAAACAAAACACTAGTTTAGCTAGCTAGTAAAACAGGTCTACCTTGAGCATTGTTGTTGTTATGTGCCTTGGAGTTGGTTGCGACTCATAGGGACCCTGTACAGGGTTTCCGAGGCTGTAAATCTTTACGGGAGCAGAAAGCCTCATCTTTCTCCCGCGGAACAGCTGGTAGTTTCGAACTGCTGACCTTAAGGCTCGCAGCCCGATTTGTAACCACCATGCTACCAAACTCTTTTAAAAACTTTCTATATGGGACCAAAATGACAACAGCAATTTGAAAGAAGATAGAAACCTTAAGGGACAGTGAGTTAATGCTAATGAGGGAGGAACATCTCCGAAAATTGGGAGAGTGGATGCACATCTTGAAGAATGTAATCAATAACCCTAAATTGTACATGTAGAAACTGTTGAATTGGTATGTTTTCCTGTGTATAGTCTCAACAACCACACAGAAAGAAAACAAAAAGAATTCCAAGATGAACAAGGCAGTTTCCTTTCATCTACTCGGACACAGTGCAGCATAGAGACCTTTCACTGGAGGCAGATTTGTTGCACTTTTTGCTTCTGAACCTCATCTCTTCTCACTCCATTGTTACCATGGATAGCAGAAGAGTAGAAAAGATAGGTCTTCTTTCTCCCTTCATTTCCATAATGTCTTCAGAGAATAACTTACCTGGTATGACTGGCATAGCTTCTGTCAAAATCTCAAGTCTTAATATTGAGTTGTCGTGAATCACCACAAATTGAGAATTAGTGCTATTGTAATTCACCACTCCTCCAAATTTTAACAGTAAGATGTGCCCTTTTCAAACAGAATATATTCTTTGTCCTTGTAGCTGAATTTGTGAAGCTGGCAGAACTGCCATGTCTAGAGGACCTGGTGTTTGTAGGCAATCCCTTGGAAGAGAAACACTCTGCAGAGGGGAACTGGATCGACGAGGCAACCAAGAGAGTGCCCAGACTGAAAAAGCTAGATGGTGAGTGACCTGAGCACTGCTCAGAGCCAGCAGGGAAATATTCATATGAATAAGAATTGAATTTATGGTGGTGGTGGTGGTGTTAGGTGCCATCGAGTTGGTCCTGACTCACAACGACCCTATGCACAGCAGAATGAAACATTGCCTGATCCTGGACCAGCCTCACTACTGTTACCACGCTTGAGTCCATCAATGCTGCCAATTGGCCAGTCCATCTTGTTGGGGGTCTTCCTCTTTTTCTCTGACCCTCCACTTTACCAAACATGATATCCTCCTCCAATGACTGGTCCCTCCTGACAATATGTCCGAAGTATGAGAGTCAAAGTTTGGTCATCTTGGCCTCTAGGGAGCACTCTGGCTGTACTTCTTCCAAACGAATGTATGATGTGACATGATTAAAAGAAAATAAACTAAAGAAAATGATTGTTATTAAGTGCTGTCGAGTCAGTTCCGACCTATAGCGACCCTGAACAGGGTTTCCAAGGAGTGACTGGTGAGCTTGAACTGCCAACCTGTGGTTCACATCAATTTTGTAATCCACTGCATTAACCCACAGCGCCACACCAGGACTCTAAAGAAAATGATAGGTTGTCTCTAATCTCCAAGGCCATTTTTGCCAACTTTAAATGTAATGGTCTAGGTTTGGGTCAGGGTGAGAGAAAAACTCCTAGGATAAGTCAACTGGCATAAGACCATCTTTAGACCAAATGCTTATAAGATACCTAGGCTTATTCTGGTCACAAAAGTATTTTGCAAAATAACTATACATAAATGGTAGGCAGTTGCTTTTTCACAGGTGGGTGAAAATTGTAATGTTCATTCTTGCTTTCTCATACTGTCTTTCCTAAACTTAAGATTGGTTCAGTGCCAAAAGATATTACTGACTGGCTGGGTTAATGTCTTCATTAGTTTTGCTACTTTATAGCATTTGTGACCATGCGCTAGCTAATTAATCTCACAAAGCCTTGTTCTTATAATATAAAAACTGGAGGTGATAAAAGTACCATAGTTTAGTTAATCATTTTATTTTGCTTAACACAATGTAAGTATCTAACAAATATTATTATAATTCCTTTAGCAGATTTTCATATCAATCCACAAACTCAGATATATTAGAGTTATTTCATTATAAATCTATCTAATTTTGACTCTCCACCACTTATTTGTCAGTTTGTTGTATGTTGTTCGTGGTTTGTATGTTTCTGTGATGCTGGAATACCAGAAGGGTCACTCATGGGGGGGTAGGTTTCAGCTGAGCTTCCAGACGAAGACAGACTAGAAAGAAGGAGCGATGGACTACTTCCAAATGTTCAGTCACTGGAAACCTTATGAATAGCAGTGGAACACTGTCAGATAGCACCAGAATATCGTCAGATATAGTACCGGAAGATGAGATCCTCAGGTTGGAAAGCACTCAGAATACAACTTGAAAAGCTCTTCAAAATAAAGTTAATGTGGCTGGAGCAAAGCTTTTGGGGACCTTCATTTGCTGATGAGGCACAACTCAAAATGAAGAGAAACAGTTGTAAACATCTGAACATGGAAGGTATGAAATATGAATCTAGGAAAACTGGAAACGGGCAAAAATGAAATAGAATGCATTCTAGGCATAGTGATTTCCTAGGCATTAGTGAGCCAAAATGGACTGATATTGGCCATTTTGAATCAGACAGTCATATGGTGTACTCTGCCAGGAATGATAAATTGAAGAGGAATGGTATCACATTCATCAAAAAGAGCATTTCAAGCTTTATTTTGAAGTACAATACTCTCTGTGATAGGATAATATCCATATGCCTACAAGGAAGACCAAAGTTCAGTGGGTCCATACAATAAGCACTGGACTGCGAACCACAAGGTCTGTGTTTGAAGCCCACCAGCTGCTCCGTGAGAGAAAGATGAGACTTTCTGGTCCCGCAAAGTTTAAAGCCTCAGAAACCCTTTACAGGGTCACTGTGATGCAGAACCAACTCTCAAAGGCATGTAACAACAACAACAACAACAACAGGGAAGACCACTTAATACCACTATTACTCAAATTTACCCACAGTGCTGTGGGCTAATGCGCCAGACTGCAAAGCAGTTTGAACTGCTCGTTCAAATGGCTGCTCCTCGAAAACTCTATACAGGGTCTCTATGGGTCAGAATCGACTCAACGGCACTTAACAACAACAACAACAACCACTAAAGCCAATGATGATAAAATCGAAAATTTCTACCAGCTTATTCAGTCTGAAGTTGATCAAGTATGCACTCAAGATGCATTGATAATTGGAATGCAAAAGTTGGAAACAAAGAGGAAGGATCCGTATCTGGATAATGTGGATTTGGTGATAGAAGCTGGAGGTTGAAGGATAGAATTTTGCAAGACCAACGACTTATTCATTGCAAATACCAATTTTCAGCAACACAACCAGCAACTATAGACCTGGACCTCACCAGATCCAGATCGATGCCATCTGTGGGAAGAGATGAATGGAGACGTTCCATACCATCAGCCAAAACAAGGCCAGGGGCTGACTGTGGAACAGACCATCAATTGCTCACATGCAAATTCAGGATGAAGCTGAAGAAAATGAAAACAAGTCCATGAGAGCCAAAGTATGGCTTAAATAAACCCCACCTGAATTTAGAGATCATATCAAGAACAGATTTGATGCATTAGACACCAGTGACTGAAGACCAGAAGACCTAAGAGAGAAATTCAAGAACATCATATATGAAGAAAGCAAAAGATCATAGAAAAGAAAAGAAAAAAAAATGTCAGAAGACTCTGAAACTTATTCTTGAATGTAGAGAAGCTGAAATGAATGGAAGAAATGATGAAACAAAAGAGTTGAACTGAAAACTTAAAGGGCAGCTCTAAAAGACAAAGTCAAGTATTACAAGATGTCCTAAGAGCTGGAGTTACAAACCAAAAGAGAGGAACATGCTCAGCATTTCTCAAGCTGAAAGAACTGAAGAAAAAATTCAAACCTCGATTTGCAGTATTTAAAGATTCTAGTGGTTACGAGTTGGGCTGCTAATCTCATGGCTAATCTTGAAGCTACCAGTGGTTCCACGAGAGAAAGATTTGGTTTTATGCTCCCGTAAAGATTCACAGCCTTGGAAACCCTATACAGGGTCACTATGAGTTGGAACTGACTCCACAGCACACCAACCACCACCACCACCATGGGAATATTGAATGATACAGAAAGCATCAAAAGACAAATAAACAAAGTCGCTGTATCAAAAAGAATTGGTCCATGTCCAACCATTTCAAGAGGTAGCATATGATCAAAAACCAATGGTACTGAAGGCTTTGACAAAAAAAAAAACCCAACAACAACAGGCTCCAGGAATTGACAGAACACAACTTGATACTGTTCAACAAACTGATGCAGTACTGGAGGCGCTCATTTGTCTATGCCAAGAAATTTGAAAGACAGCTACCTGGCCAACCAATTGGAAGAAACCCATATCTGTGCCCATTCCAAATAAAGGTGACTCACAGAAGGCAGAAATCATCGACAAATGTCATTATTATCACATTCAAGTAAAATTTTTCTGAAGATAATTAAAAAATGGTTGCAGCAATACATCAATAGAGATCTGCCAGAAATTCAAGCTAGACTCAGAAAAACACATGGAACCAGAGATACCATTGCTTATGTCAGGTGGATCTTGGCTGAGAACAGAGAAAACCAGAAATACGTGCTTTATTGTCTATGTAAAGGTATTCAAGACCTTCATTACGCTCATGAGGAACTTGTACATAGACCAAGAGGTAGTCATTTGAACTAAACAAAGAGATTATGAATGGTTTCAAATAAGGAAAGGTGTGAGTCAGGGTTGTATCTTTTCACCATACTTATCCAATCCTTATGCTGAGCAGATAATCCCAGAATCTAGATTATGTGAAGAAGAACATGGCATCAGGATTGAAGGAAGACTCATTAACAACCTTGCGCATGTCACAACCTTGCTTGTTGGAAGTAAAAAGGACGTGAAATGTTTACTGATGAAGATCAGTATGGATTGTACCTCAGTATAAAGAAGATGAAAATCCTCACAACTGGATCAGTAAACAACATCATGATAAGTGGAGAAAAGATTGAAGTTGTCAAAGACTTCATTTTGCTTGGATCCACAATCAACTCTCATGGAAGCAGCTGTTAAGAAATCAAAGGATGGATTGCATTAGACAAATCTGCTGCAAAAGACCTTTTTAAAGTGTTAAAAACCAAAGATAAGGACTAAGATTGAGGACTAAGGTAAGGTGTGCCTTACCCAAGCTATGGTATTTCAGGTTGGACAATGAATAAGGAAGACTGGAGAAGATTCAGTGTATTTGAATTATGGTGTTGGTGAAGAATATTGAAAATACCATGGTCTACCAGAAGAGCAATGTTGGTTGTTGAAATTCACCAGCCGCACCTTGGAAACCCTATAAAGAGTCACTATGAGTCAGAACCAATTCCACAGCACTTAACAACCAGAAGAGCAAACAAATCTGTCTTAGAAGAAGTACAGCCGGCAAGCTTTTTGGAAGCAAAGTTGCCAAGACTTCATCTCTTGTTCCTTGGACATCTTATCAGGAGGGACCAGTCCCTAGGAAGGACAGCATGCTTGGTAAAGTGTAGGGTCAGCAAAAAAAAAAAAAGGAAGACCCCTAATGAGAAGAATTGACACAGTGGCAGTAGCACTAGGTTCAAACATAACAGTAATTGTGGGGATGGCACAGGTCTGGACAGTGTTTTGTTCCGTGGTCCGTGGAGTCACTGAGTCTGAACCAGCTGGACAACACGTAGCAGTAACAGTCTGGCTCTAAATATCTTTTCCTCCTCCCATATCCAATTCAGCTGAACTGTTAGTACGTTTATCTGTTACTCTCAAGGTCTCCCTAGCATTGTGCCACCATTCTAGTATCAAGCCATGAGAAAAGCTTCCAAAGTTACCACTGAGATACATATTGCCTGCATTCCCAAGATCCCTTTATGACTAATGCTGTTATGTGCTGTGGAGTCAGTTCTGACTCATAGTGACCCTGTACCAGGTTCCCGAGGCTATAAATGTTTACAGGAGCAGAAAGCCTCATCTTTCTCCTGTGGAACAGCTATTCCCTGTTATTTCCAGGCTACTCTTAGGCATTGAAAATGCATTTTTGAGAATTGGATTCTTGATGCCTGTAGGATTCTCTCTCCAGATAAAACACACTTGCTTCCTCCAGTTGTGCTATGAGGAAACAGGTCCCGAATTTACACTGTTCTAAGATCCACAGACTTCTCACTCTTCTGCCCTCTCTAGTATAAGGAGAAATTCCCCCTTTCTTAGCCTGGGTTCTCTAGAAAATCAAAACCCGTGAAGCCTGTTTATGTTTAGGATTTTTAAAAACAAAGAGAGTTAATTAAGGACTGTTTCTGCTTTCCACACTGCCCTTGAGGCAGTGATGCCCAGAGCATATAGTAGCCTACCTGATTGAACCAGTGGAAAGAAAAAAATATCTAGAGGGGAAAAAGTAAATAATATCATCATCATCATTATGGTGGTGGAGATGTGCATGGAGTTGGTTCTGACCCATAGCGACCCTGTATAGGGTTTCCGAGACTATAAATCTATACGGGAGCAGAAAGCCTCATCTTTCTCCTGCGAAATGGCTGGTAGTTTCGAACTGCTGATCTTGAGGTTAGCAACCCAACTTGTAACCACTACACTACCAGAGCTCCTTTTGATTATGTACCAAATGCATATTTTCCCTTTTGTAATGCTGCCCTTCACCCAGCTGGAAGAAACCTTTAATGGTGTAAGCTGGACCCTCAGAATAGAGAGTTGTTTTCCATTCCCTATAGTGGATTTTCCACAGTTCCCTAAGGGAAACTGGAATTGATTCCCTTAACAATTTAAGGCCTTATCCATATTAGAGCATATTTACAGTGTAAAGCCGGACCCATATTCCATATTTACATTCAAAACAAAAGACTTACTCTGGCCTTGGTCGCCATGGTAACACAAGTGGGGCTGGTGTCCCAGCCTTGAGTCTCCTGAGCCCTGGGCTGGGGCGTAGGTGACTTTGTTGGGTGCTGTGGGTGAGGCTGAGCTGTTGCAGGATGCGGTAGCCGCAGTGGCGGCAGAAGATGGGCAGCTAGGTGGTGGGCACGGGCGGGAGCCTGCTCTGCTCCCTGCGTGTCCAGCGGGTAGCTGAGCAGCCTGTTCTGGGCTACAATGTGTGTGGGCTGCAGGAGACCCTGGACCATACCGCTCACTGCCAGCTATTTTGCTTTTGATAGCCGCCTTTGAGAAACTCGTTCATCTGCAGCCTGAGGTCATCGAGAACTGTGTGGCTGCTGCTGAATCCGGCTAAAGACAGTCCTCTTGAAGGAGCCTTTCGTGTTCGTCCACTCCATCATTCATCGGAATAAATATACACATCCGAAGCACATCCAGAAGCTGCCGTAGAAGCAGCTGGTATCCCCAGTGAAGTGGGAGCAGACTATGCACGTCGCACATGTTGTACTAGAGGAGGAAGGGGACTGAGCTCCCCAGAACCTTTGAAGTTGGCCCAGAGAAGCAGCTGGGAGAGTTGTTCTGAAAAGCTGGAAGTCCAACAGTCACACAGAGGTGCTGGAGACCTTGAAGGACCCAGCACTCGCGGCAGACATCTTGACTTGGGGAGCTGGTTGGTCCTCCACCTGCACCTCCCTCTTAACAAGACATGATCGATCAACCATCTACAAGGTGTTCTCAGTCAACACTTAAACACTAAAAGCAGAAAAAAACATAAAAAATTGTGGCTAGATGTTAAAATGCTAGAGGTCAGGAGTGAGTGTTCCTTGGCCCAGTTAGGATCTGTGGCTGTGTTTTGTTTTCTCGACAGTCATTTAAAAAAAAAAAAAAATTGTTCTCTGTGTTTTGAATAATTGGGAGTTCACATGAAAATTCAATTTCTAGAAATTAGGATTTTATGTTTTGTGGAACATGAAGAATATTTCTTTGTATTTAACATGCAAAGAAAGTTTTCTGATGTGTCCAGGGCTTCCTTTATTTTTCTGCCTGACCCCTTAGGCATTTGTATGTGCAAGCCTGCATTTGGGGAACTGAATAGTTTTAAGTATTTATGTTAATCCATTTGAGAAATCTCTTGAGAGGTATTTTGTAGAATTTGAAATTAGAATATTTTATGTAGTTACTTTTATTATCACACACTTCACAGCATCTCAGAACTCTTGAGTAAACAAGAAACTCTTTTCATTTGGGATTTTATCTATCTGTTGAGAATGACCACAATAATTTTGTGTTTCATTTTAGGTACCCCTGTAATTAAAGAGGAGGAGGAAGAAGAAAACTAACACCACATGTTCTGCTTTGTTAATTTATTTAAATATCATAAGAACAACAGATAAGTTTTGTAACCTTGTCTATTTTAAAGATTGTTTGTGTCTCCCTCAAAGTGATAACACCAACTTTATGTAACTTTTCAACTTCTGACTTCATTCCCACTTATGTACTGTGGCCCTGTCTCTTGAAACCTTGTAGACCAGTCATTTTAACAACAAAGGAATTGTGGGTTTTTATTCAGTTTTTAGACCAGGCATTTAAAGCTGTATACTTAACTTTTGCCTCTGTAAACCATCTTTCTGGAAAGTTCATCTCCTTACTTTAAGACTCAGAAGCACAAACGTGTCATGCCTTTGGTTCAGAAGGCAGCAACGTGATAAGAAGAGCTCCTCTTATAAATATAGCAGTAGTCCTTGACCCCAGAATCCCAAATCCAATTAGATAAGTTATGGTGCAAAAAGGAAAAATTATATCTGGGAGGCTTTATAGTCCTTGTTATAATTACTTTTTCCTTCTTCAAAGAGTGTGCATTATCAACTGGAATTTAGGTTGTGTTTATATGTGTGGCTACTCAAATCACTGGGCGCAGTCAGTCCATTTTGTGATCCTGATCAGCGCTTAAAATGACTGTCGTGACCGTTTCTTTTACCGATAATGTGGTCAGCTTACTCATGTGACCCTAGCCTTGGGCACATATAGTTTCTTATGTTGAAGGAATAGCTGTATTTTAATTCCTGCCTTAAATGTTGCCCAGAAACACATGTCAAAAATTTCCCTAATGACTTTGGTGATCCTCCTTGTTGAGGGAAGTGATTATTCTGGTTTTAAGGGTAAAATAATGAAAGGTTGGGATCGGTGCCTTTCAATAAATAAAATGTAGTATTTCAAGATCTATTTTTTGAGAAGCTCTAAATTAAGCAGGTCTTTCATTGTGTAGGTGATTGTAGGGAGGAGAGAAGAGATTCATAATGGGATTCTAGGCACTTGGCAATAGTTTTGAGGATTGCATCCTATGTGAAGCATTATAGAGGTAGTCAACTTAAAAATTGCAAAGCAATAGTCAGAGGTAAAACATAGAATTTATCAGGTAAGGAAAAAGTTCTCTGGTATTTCTCTTTCTGGACAATGCTAGACATTAATTGTAGCCAGCAACCAGATGAAGGTCCATAGTAGGCCATGACAGGAAGAAAAGCCCTCTGCCAAATTGTGCCTGAAGTCCCTCAGCCAGAGATTATTGATTCTTATTTCCCCATCTACAAAGTTAAAAAGGGGAGAATCATTTAAAAAGAGTGTTTGCGTAAGTAGTTGGGTTTTAGAAGTTTTCAGCTATCATTTAAGTAGGAATTCCTTGATTTCTCTAAGAGCCATTCGGATCTAAAGGGACCACTGCTTTGACAATCAGCTCTAAATACAAATAAGAGGAAGACTTGGTCCAACATCTTTTTCGTTTTCTTTTAGCTCTTCCTTACAGTCTAATAGGGAAGTTAATCTTTCCTCTGACTGGCGTATACATTCAAAGCTTTGGGGTGTTTCTTTTGTGAACCAAAAGTTAATGAGCCTTCATTCTCCTTGGATGTTGAAGGCTCATAGGCTAAGAGGAAAGACGATCTTTACTTGTAGTTTGCACTTAATCCAGTAGGCAAGCTCGAAGCCATATTGCTATGTATGTGGTGTTTTCTAAAAGTTATTCTGGAAATCACCATGATTGGAAACAGATGATTTCATAGTGAATTTATTTTTGACAGGCTTACAAGTTTTGGTCTTTGTTTTTCTGAGTTAGGTAGTATAGGAACTAATTTTCTCTTTTCACCTTGTTTCTAAATGTCTTGTAATCACTTGTAATTCTCCGAACTATAAGGTGCTTTTCTGTGCCCACTATACATAAAAAATCCATATTCAGTTCCACTCAACAAATATTTCAAGGCCTTCTGTGCATCTTTTCGTGGAATTAAGGCCAGAATCCATGCCATTAGAAAATGGAAGAAGGTTCAGACTATTCTCTCAGATGATCACTTTTATCATCCTTTTCTGGAGTCCTGGTGTGGCACTGTGGGTTAATGTGCTGGTCGAGTTGAACTGCAAGGTTGGAGGTTCCAGCTCACCAGTCACTCCTTGGAAACCCTGTTCAGGGTCAATGATGAGTCAGAACTGACTCGATGGCACTTACCACCACTATCATCCTTTACTATGGTTAATTTAGCTGATATTAAATGCTTTTGCTCATGACTCTTGGATTCCATATTTGACCCATTAGGATTCTCTCTGTGCTTCTGGTTTAAAACATTCTGCTATTTCAGTAGATCATTTAAATATCTTACCTCTACTAACTCATGATAGAACTCTGGAATCATTTCAACATTTCAATTTGTCACAGGAAATTTAATTTTAGTGTACTAAGGAAATTAACTCCCTGAATCATCTATGGGCCATATTATCTGGTCAGGTCTTGAAAGGTTTGTGTTCTTTATTAATAAGAGTTTATTACTTTAAATCAGAGTTTCCCAACCTTGGTACTATTGACATTTTGGGTTGTGTTGTGGGTGGTTGTCCTTGTGTTTTGTAGGATTTATAGTAGCAACCCTGGCCTCTACCCACTAGATGTCAGTAGCACCCACTTTCCAACAGTGACATCCAAGTGTCTTCAGACATTCATGGGGTATGGGAGTAAGGTGGGCAAATTCACCCTTGGTGGAGAAGCGGTGCTTTAGACCTCACCCCAAGACTGCTTTTGTCCAGAGTCCATTTTCACTCAGGAGGCAGTCGCCAAAGTGGGTGTTTTACTCACGAATCAGTTACTGATGATGGAGCCAGGGAAAAGGGCCCGTGGTAGTATTGCTCTTTTCCATAGTCTTCACAGATCATTGGAAACTCAGGGTTGGAAGGTTCAACTTTTCATTTCTTAGCATTCTTGCTTACCTTAGGACAGTGATCATTAACCTACCTCTTTCATATCAACAAAATCCAACTTATAGATTTGCTTTGTTTCTAAAGTTTTAACATTTTGAGTGTGCTTTGGAAAATGGGTCATCAATTCTTCAAATGTTATTCATTGTTTAATAATGCACAGAATTCTGTAGACTTTAGCAATCATTACCTATTTGTATAAAATTTGGTAGTCTTGTATGAAAACTAACTGGTGTAGATATCGATTTGGGGTCTGATCACAATATCTGGTCATTGACTTAATATGGTTACTAAATCTGATCCACAGTAGAGGTGTTATATAACAAATAGGGCTTCTGTGTGCAGACAGATTTTGACTTGAATAGGTGCTTATTCTAATTTCTTTTACCTGTGGTCTGAAGCAAAACAAGAAAGGAATCTTGACTGTTGATTTAGTCTCAGATGGGAGCTGTCTAAATAGAATTGAGGGTAGTGATCTTTGTAACCCAGAATTTTCCACCTGGGTTGTTTTTAGGACTGTATGGGAAAGTGCAGGGCCTACATAGTTTGAATTTAATCACTCACCTAAAACACTGGGTGGTATCAAATCATTGATCTTTGGAGTGTCTCTGACTGCAGTTCAGTAAGGCATAAGTATTGGTAAAGGTAGAAAACTGCTGAACTCTAAAATTATTCTTTGCCAGTAATTTATTCCTCTAGCACACCTTGTCTTCATTTGGGCTGCTTAATGTGTCTGTAACTAATGAAAAAAGATTCAGCCTAGCAGAGTTGGTGCTTCTGACACAGCTAAATTGACCATATTCCTTCCTGTATCACTCTAGCATGTCTTATGGTTTTTGTAGTTGCTGGGTTTTATTTATTTTTTTGTAAAACTGTAAAAGAGGTGCAATAGAAAAAAATGAAGTTATGTTTAAAAATCACTGAACTTGTAGAAATCTCTTATCTGTTCTTGCCTTTTTATAAATCGAAGGAAGAAAGCTGAAAGGAAGAAATACTGTCTCACCTCTTCTGATCCAGGAAAACTGAGTAAAAGTTTTCACTTGACGCTTTTAGAGAAGAGCTAACTGGACTCTAATTTGTTTCCTATATTGGGCAGGTTAGAGAGGAACCAGCCAATCAAATCAGATGTCGCAAATTTAACAAGGGGCTGAGGGTGAGTAAGCTATTTTTCAGTAGATTTGCACTTTAAAATTATGAACTGGATGTTGGTGGAAAGTATTCCCAAAGGGCAGATGGGTCAACACCTCACCTGCACATGGATGTTAGATAGAAACCTCACACATGCTGTTCTAAGCCCACCTGAGAAGTACTGTCAGACAGCCTGGTCAGTCAGGACATCCCTGGAACCCTACGTGGTGCCATTTCTCATGTCTTACTCAGAATAGAAACTTTTGAGTTATCATCCCCACATCTAGATTTTAAATATTTGGATGTTGGCTTAAATGAAGTTGTGGCTAATGTTAAGTGGGTAGGAAGCTGTCTGCTTCTTTGATCAGCATAGTACCTGCCTTTAAAAAGCAGTCGATCAATCCGTCAAAAGACTGGTGAGTTGGCAGCTGAAAAGAATATACGTCTAGCTGGCTACTTCTCCTGGACTGTCAGTCATGGTCACAAGCATCATTCCAGAATCTTTGGCTTTTAGAACCAACTCCAATCTGAAGAACATTTTAACATCTATTAATACTTTGGTAATCTTTTATACACAGGAATTTTGTAGCATGACTTTATGACTAAATTTATTGTGTTAAATTATTTAGAAATGTTGTTTCTGAATGTTATTTTGTGAGACTTGTTTTTAAATAGTAATAAATTGTATTTTATAAAAAATGTGTGCGTTCTGATTCGTGACTATTAATTTTAGCTAATATAGAGCAGCTATAATATAAAGAAATCCAAACTGGATAGCATTCCACACATCTTGTGTGGATGAGACTGATTTCTCTTTATGGTAATTTTTGTCGAGTAGTTCACTACCTGTAAGACACTCCTCCTTCCAGGTTTCTGAAGTACTCCCCAAGAGCTTCCCCAAATGGACACCATTGCAAATTATTATCCTCCTGGAAAGCACACTTCCAGGCACAGCGTGGATTTGACCTGACTAGTCCTCACCTCCAGAAGTATGTATTCAAGCTAAAGGTTGTTGTTGTTAAGTGTCAAGTTGGTGCTGACTCATAACCACCCTGTATAGGGTTTCCAAGGAGCGACTGGTGAGCTTGATCTGCCGACTGTGCAGTTCAAAGCAACCTTACAGTCCAGCCCATTAACTGTCGAACAGCTTGGCCTTAGCCAGCTCCTTTTTGATACACAACAGAGAACCAAGCAATCTTAGGAGTACACATTTTGCCAGCACCTATTAAATATTGTGGTATTTGCTAAAATCTACTTTTGGCCACAGAACTATAGTACTGATTCTACGTCTTAATCCACAGTTCTTGGTTATGACAATGTATTTCTTGGGGCTGCCCTCATTAAAAAGCAGCTTCTCTGTTTTTCTCTATGTTGTTAAGTGCTGTCAAATCTGTTCAGACTCAGACTGTGTATAGACTGCAGGAGCAGCTGGAGTTTGAACCACCGACCTTGCGGTTCAAACTGACTTTATGGTGAAATGTTAATCCTACAGTGCCACACCAGGACTCCATTTTCTTTAGATACTATTTCAAATATATACTATATATAAACACAGGCTGGCCCAAATTATGAACAAGATCTGTTCCCAAGTGTGTAAGTTGAATTTGCATATAAGTCAACCAGAACAAATGCTTGCGTTCTTTAGCCATACTTTCATGCAGTAAAGGGCTCAAAGCCTTCGCAATGACTTAAGAGCTGCATGTGCACCCAGTGAAGGTGAATGTGATGAAGAATCTTTCAAGCAGGGTTGGTTCAATCATTTCAAACAGGCAAGTTTACTTACTCAAGGGCAAGTCTTTGCCTGTAAGTTGAGAAGTTGGTAGCACAGCTCTGCCTGTAATAAAGGAATTCTGGGTGCTGACCCTCCCTCCTGGATGCAATCAACAGCTATATAAAGAAGGCATAGCCCTGTGTAGACATGGACAGATACCCTTTAACACAAGCGGGGGTAAAAAATGAACTCATATTTGTTTTTAAGATTGTGCATGTATGGGGGAGCAGGCGTGGGCCTCTATGTGGTGGCCATGTGAGGATTGAAGTGAGCTCGTTATGGTGGAGCACTGTGACAGCAGCTGGTACTTTGGGTGCAGTAGAAGGTGGGAGGAGAGTGTGTATGAGTGCTGAGGGGGAGCCGTGAGAACTGGAATGGTGGCAGAGTGGGTGGGTATGTACAACTGTTGGTGGTAGGGAATGTATGTTTGTTGAGGGAGGGGTGTGACAAAGCCTTACATCCACATGCAGGAAGTGAGGACATGGTTCAGTACACAGAAAAATCTGGAAGAACATAAACTGGCTTTTATATAAAACATTTGTACTTTGTAGTTTTTATATGAATCTGCTATAATTTAAAAACCTTGCTATTAGGGAAAAACTCTAGTATTACCATAGGATTACTTTGTATTACTACAAATCTCAAAACTTGGACATCTTTAGTCATTAAATCTCTGCAGCCAAATAAACATGCTTTAAAAATTAAGCCATAAAAAAAAAAATTAAGCCAGTTTTCCTTTTTAAACTTTTGATATAAAACGGCTGCTATAAAATCTAAACAATCATTTTATAGGTATAAGAAGTCAGTTTTCTGTTCAAAAATATTTAGCTAGAGAGACTGAGATGGATAAAACACTGCCAGATCACATCCCTACACCCCATTTCAGAATTTCCTAAATTTTTGAAGTGATTACTTACACATACATGTCTATTTCACCTTCTAATACTTACTTGGCTTGGAGAAAATGTAAAAAAAAGAAAGTATTAAATTATAATTTAATCAATAATGTATATAAAGCTTAAAAATATGAGTTTTTTAAAATTATATAGGAAAAAAGTCCTTAAAAAAGGGTACAAAGTTTAATTACATGGAAAATGTCTATAAGAAAAAACCAACTAGAGACAACAGAATTTTTAAAACACTTTTATTTATTAGTATATATCTATCTGATAATTTCAAATTTAGAACACTCAGAATTAGCATTAACCAGGAGACTACTATTCAGATAGCAAAATTTGAAATGGGAAAATGGATTACTGTAACAGGTTCACATCAACCTCCCATGTGATTTCTATCTGTATCTTGTACAGTGAAAAACTGGTTTACACATCTCTATTACAGTACTTTCCTAATATTCTGTATGTTGTAGTCTCAGAATACTTTTCACGTTAAAGATGAAAAACAGGAAATTTTGCATTTTAAAGTTGACTAACTAACAAGATCTAAGAAATTCACATTTCTTTCCGTTAACAGAAATCAGGAACAATTTGCAGTGAACACGAAAACTACCCACGCTATTAGTTAACGTTAACAATATTCACATTTTTACTGCGACTGTCCCCTGAACCAGGCCCAGCGCTAAATGTCGGAACATGCAATTTCTCACTTGAATGACCTCAATGGGAAGTGTCACAGATTCACTTATTTTGCACAACTGATGGCACGATGACAGCGCACACTGAGCACGTGTGTCCAAACCTTTACCCGGCATTTTTGCCTAGCGGGGCGCTATTGCATTGCAGCAACTCCCTGGGGCTCACTTGCACGATTTTAACAAATGTTACACGATTAAGTAGGTCTAACTCCCCCCGTCCCTCCCCTCCCCCCCAAAAAAACAGAACATGACTAAGTCTAATGGAGGATAAACCTAGACGACGGCACAGAGACAACGAAAGCAGCTGGGATCTAGCTCTGCACTAAGCGTCGCCCGCCGTCTCCGGAGGCTCAGAAGTGCCCCTCCAGACCCAACTGCAGGAGGGCGGCCTCGGCCTCCTCCTCCTCCTCCTTGGCCTCCTCCTCGCGGATCTGCACGAGCAACTGGAAGAGGTTCGGGGCCGGCCCCTCGGCAGCCCCGGTCAGCCACAGCTGCCTCCGGATGGCCCCGCTGTGGTTGGCGCCCGCGATGACCTGCTCCAGGCGCGCCTGGTTCACGTTATCTTTATCTATGGCCCCCTTCTCCACCACCTTCTGCAGCAGAGGCTCCAGGCGGATGACGTAAGCGGACAACTTTTCGCCCGGGTTCTGGTAGGTGTTCAGAAACCTGACCTGAGCATCCCTGGAGCTCTCCACGCTCCCGAACACCTGCTCCAGCGCCTTCAGGCACTCGGCAGAGGTGATGGCCGGGTTGTTGGTCTTGAGGATGCGAATGACATCCGCGGCGGGGCCTCTAAGACTCTCCACCAGCCGCCGCCTCTTTTCGAGGTCGGACACCTGCCACTCCTCCATGACCTCGTTAGTGTGCTCCAGCCAGTGATCAAAGGTCTCCTCCCCCGGCCCCGGAATGTCCCGGCCCGAGAACAGAGTCAGCTTCTTGTACCATATGGACTCGACAAGAGGCTGAATAACATTATCTAAAATATAGTTTAGCATCTCCGCTGGCATTTCGGGCCCTGGGGCCGGCGCGGGGTTCTGAAACCCAAGGACTCGTGCCACGTCCTGCACGGTCCACCCCTCTCTCGCTAGGAAGAGGTGCAACCGTTCTAAAAACTCAGCATCGGAAGTCGGAGGCTTAAAGACCACTTTCCAGACCCCTCCCTTGCCCGGCATCTCCCTGGGGATGGCGGCGTAATCGACAGCGCCTGTGAGCTCTAACAAGGCAGCTTTCGCATTCTCTTCCCTCCAGAACATTCTCCCGAGCACGCGATAGGGCACCTGGGGCATGGCGGCCCGCAGGGTCTCTTCGATTTCAGCCTCGTCACAATTTACTGGGATCCCCCAAACCAGCAGGGCTCTCTGGGAATTCACATCCATCCCCCGGCACCAGTCTTCCAACAGGGTCATCGCCATTTCCCCACCTATCAACTGGCGCCAATTCCACAAGTACGGATTCGGCAGTGGCTCACTCTGCCCTGCAACTCCGAACAATACCAGAGACTCCCTCGCCCCAAAAGCCCGAGGGAGGCAAGCTTCACGCAACCACAACGAACAAGTAACACCAGAATCCCGCTCTCACCCTTCCTCCCTGACTCCAAAGCACTCCCCTCAGTCCGTCTGCGCGTCCTCGGAGCGAAGCCTCGTGGATGTTCAGTCACGCAGCCGCCGCCATCTTGCGGCTCCGGTGGGATTCCGCGGCCTGAGGTCCGTCGCCTACGGGACAGGGAGTCGCGTTGCAGCACAGAAAACGTAGAGCGAGGGCGGGTCGCCGCGAAAGCCGGAGTCGCCGGAGTCGCCGGGCCGCCGGAGTGCAGTCGTGGGGCGTGGCCGCCTGCGCCTGCAGCCTAGGTCGACCGACGGACGATAGCTGCAGCTCCGGAAAGCGAACGAGAGTCAGCGGTCCGAGGCTGGCGAAGAGTGGCTGGTTTGCAGACGAAGATTTTAATGCTCGTGAAGAAAGAGACTGTCCCAAAGTTGTAGAGACGGTGGCGGCGGAATCAGTCCACGGGCAGCTTCTTCGAAGGCACGAGGACCCCCCTCTGGGCGACGAGGACACCCAAAGGCCGACGACAGAAGATCGAGGACGGAGAGAAGGGATGCAATACGGACAGGCGAAGCTGGAGACAAGGACCGGCCCCGGCGGCGTGCACGGGCTGCACGAGCTCTGGCGCAGCTAGGCAGCCGAGGCGTCCACCCTGCAGCGAGTCGAGGCGTTACTGCCGCAGTGAAGGGCGGGGCCAGACCCAGCCGGCGGCTTCCGGCTTGTTCCTCCCTCTTTCTCGGGCGTAGCCATGGCAACGGTGTCCCGGACGACGCGAAATCCGCGCGCTTCTGTGGTGGGCAGGGTCAGGTGGTTTGCCTAGGGGCCTGAGCTAGGTTGCCAGCAGTGATCTTTCCGATGGTTTATTTCCTTATTTTTCATATATATGCGTTTCTTTACAGTGAGAAAACAGAGCTAAGCACGTGTTTAAAAAAATAATCTAATGCTGGTGTGGATTTACGATTTTGTTGAAAATGTTTGTCATGGCCGACTCATCTACTCCGGTTACTCAATGCTGCTGCATGAGAAACTGCTCCAGGCACCTAAGTTTCCCTGTGCCACCCTACCGTAATTGGAAGTGTGCCATGTATGTTTTTGTGAGGCACTGAGCTTTAACTTTTTCATATCCAAGATATAAAAGACGTACCAGGGAGCTTCAGATTTTTGTGGAAAAATACCATTATTTTCAACTCCAGTTTTCTACAAACTTTTTTGAAGCTCTCTTCGTTGCCTTGTCATGGGCACAGTAGGCAGACAAAACAATACTTGTGTTTCAAAAACGTTCACTGTAATAATCCTTTGTAAGCAAAACAGGGCCTATTTACGCACGTCAATACCAGACGGTGGAAATCTCCTCCAAAAGAACACAGCATTCAATTCTGAAATTTTTAAACCTTATTTAATAAAAGGTTTAAAGATACAGAGGGACATTCAAAAGTAAATAAGTTACATAGGTACATTACAATCACATCAGCAAGATTTTCTTTAGTGTATTAATTTTTTTTTTTATAAAAAGCACACAAAAAATAAAATCTTCAGTCTGGTCTATCACAACTGTACAGCAAAAGAGGTAATATTTATATATATGTACACTATTTTAATATGTAACAGTCTTTTTAAAAAATGGTGCCACAGGCAGCAAACACAAAAGGCAGTGTCTGATGGTTTTTCTCAAAATAAAAGGAAATATACTTATTTATATGCTATTAAAATATTTGTACAATAATTACAGACTGTCAAGGCTGTTCCTGTGCTCTGTCCCCTCCAACAAGGTCTTCAACTTCGAGACAAACAAGGAAAGGGTGAAACAGCTGCAAATTGTTAGTTAGAGGCAAATATTAACACAGCAAAATGTAAGGAGGACATAGAATTGTTTTATAAAAATACATATACTTCCTGTAAACCTACAGAGTTTGGCTTGCCAGTCTGGTAATAAATACCAACCCAGAAGAGTAAGCCCCAGTGAACACATTTAAACAGCTGAGGCTTGAGGATGTATTATAGTCCTCCTTCATCTTAACATCTGGCACATGAAAGAGAGTTTAGGTCACTGAGGCAGTTAAATATAGGCAATCCCTTTCGACATAAGCAGCACACGACCTCTGTACCAGGAGAGGACCTCACTGAGCACAGTGGAAGGTGGGGACGCAGAAGGGGCGGGTGTGTACTTTAGCTGTGAGGGAGGCAGCTGAAGGCTTGGAGAACCGTGCAGACAGCACTATCTCCTCGGGTGGGAGACCATCTCTCAGAAATGGTCTGGAAAACAGGCACTACTAGGTTAGTTTCATGCCCTTAGCTGAGTGCAGATGGAGACTGGGAGATGGAAGTGGTTAAGTGTGAGGAGGACATAAAGCAAAAGACATCTGTGTTATTTAACTTCCAAAAGCAAAGAGCTCTGAATAAAGAAGAAAGCGATGAGCCTAATGTGTTCATCGGGAGAAAGCACCATTAAGGATTTACCTATGCCGGCTCCTATGGCAGTACCTACTTTAGTTGTAGGTCACTTGCCACAATTGCATCTGCCCTCTAAACATTTGAATTTTCACATTGCATTCTAGATATAAATCCATTCTGAAGCATAAGATAGTGAAACGTGTCTGGTGGGTAGGTTGCTGGAGGATTAATATAGACAGGTACCCTCCCTCTTGATTTTCCCCACCTACATTCGCCTGGTCTGGTCTCCGTCAATTTAGAAGAATCACTTTCTCATTTACAAAGATTTCCAAGTACAAGAAGCTATCACTGAATAGAAAGGTCGCACATGACTGAAGAAGTCTCTGTTACCGCACGTCCACACAGGGGCCTGAAATGAAATATGGTTTAAGTGGGGGGAGGAGGGGGAACACGACATACCTCTTGGGAAACATAAGTAGCACTTTGGGGCAAAGCTGTGAAGGCACTCATATTACACAAGTGATCTAAAAGAGACCTAAATTTGCTACCATCCTGCTTCTAGAAGGTATACCAGATTTCTGCAATTTTGGGACACTGAGTTTGTTGAAATTTATGAAGTCTTCAACCACTTAGGAGTTGAAGCTCAGGGTAATTGTCCAGGAGTCTGAAGAGTAATTTTGTTACTCCCATAGTTGGGGTCCTACAGAACCACATCAATGCATAAACAAACGCTGATGGTGCATAGTTGAAAAACAAAACTCCCTCCCATTCCTAGTTACAGAACATGATTATGCCTTAAGGCTATCTCAGGAGGGCAGGCAAGAAAACTTTTTGGCTCTTTCCTAACTTGTTGACTTGTTAGAACTACTTTTATACAACTGAAGTTGAGTAAGAAGATTAAAAAAATAACTCAGCCCTTCTATGGGACTAGCAAGTGAAGGGGCCTCCAGAACCTTCCAACTCTTTCAACTTTAGCTACTCCTTGCTAAATTCACCTTCATGCAGTTAAGACTCCAGACCTGATTATTAACAAAACTAGAATTCTGGCCTCCTGCCCATTCCCTCAGGTGATTTGAAAGTACAGTCAGAGAAGAGGCAGTAAACAAACACTGCCTTTGATCTGCTCTGCTCCTGGCTAGTCTTTGTGAGCCTTTTGGTAACAACCTCCACTCTTCCACCCTCTCAGTGCTACTAACATTCCTATGGGCGAGAGCCTGCAGAGCAAAGAGGTGGGGGACCTTCGCGCCTTGGGGAATAGGGTTGCCAAGAAGGTGCCTTGTCTGGGGATAAATGCACTTGGGCCTCTGAGAAGCAGAAGGCCCCTGGTCCCTGAGAGGATGTTTAAAAAATTAAATACTAAGAATAAATAAATAGCTCCCAAATGACATGAGTCAAGGAATGAAAGCTCCTTTCCAATTTAGTCCAAAGACCCACTCCTTCCAGGGAAGGATCCAGAAATCTCCAGCGTGTGGGGTTGGGGGTTAGGCTGTGGGCATCAGCACTGGGTGGGGCCAGGAAGCATTCCACTGAGCAGAGACAGAGGGAAATCTGTACCCAGGCATAAGCTGGGCTGCTGGGGATCCTCCCCTCCAGGCCTTTCCAGGACCTGCTCAAGGCTAAACCACCGCCTTAGCAGCAGCAGCAGCTAATCAAGGGCCAGAGGTATTTGGAAAAGAGGTGGGAAGCAGAAAGAGCTAGGTTGTTAAAAGCTCCCTCAAGCCTAGCCCTACACTCAGGCCTGCTTCTTCCAGTCTCTGTAGCTCCCCTACCTCCAGCAGGCAGAGAGCTGGGATGGGGCACTGGCTCCTTCCCCCTGGCAGGGCTGCTGGTAAGCAGAAAAGGGATAGGGACCTGTCCTTGGCTCTCTCCAGGAGGCCTCTCCTGTGAGGGGGAGGTGGCCTCTCTGAGGCCAGGGCCCCTGGCTTGGGTGTTGCTGTGCAGGGAAGACAGCCACAGGTTCCATCCCTCTCAGAGTCCTTTTACAGGGTTTAGCAGCCTCCCAGGTCCTCTGGGGAGGAGGATGACCACTGCACTAGGGTGAGCCTGTGCTGGGTTTTCCATGGTCATTTCCTGGACTCCAGATGGAAGGAGGAAGAGGAGGAGGAGGCCAAGAAGAAGGGAAGAAGCAGCAGAGGTCAGAGTGAGGGAGGCAGAGGTGGCAGCAGCCGGCACCCTCTGGAGGGGCAGCTGGGACTTTCACGAAAGCATGAGGACAACTTTCAGACAGACTGAATGCAGACAGAACTGGACCCTGATGCCTGTTAACACTGCTCCTGGGGCCTTTATAGACAAAAGAGCCATTTATTTGACTGTCTGATTGGTTTTTCAGAGGAAAGTCCATGTGATTCTCATCTCACACCCTCTTGAGGTTCCAAGGTGTCTCCCGGTCTTTCTGCAGGCTGGTGCAGGGGTAGGCAAGGGAGCCAGAGAGAGGGGGCCAGCCCCTCACTCTCCTGGCTGAACCTTCCTGGTCTCAGCCCTTCTCGCCAGCACCACTCTCCTCTCGCAGGGCCGGCTGGTGGGGGGAGGCTTCAGTGGGGACAGTGGCAGTGGCGGCAGTTGCAGCAGTTGCTGCGGCGGCAGCGGCGGCGGCCAGTGCCGCCTCTTTCTCCTTCTGTCTCAGAGCTGCTGCTTTCTTCTCCTGCTCTGCATGGCTCTTCATGTGGGCGCTGCGGCTCTTCACCTTGTAAAACACCCTGTAGCCAGGCAGGAGAGAGTCAAGTAAGAGGTGTGGGCCCCTCACCTCCCGGGAACCCCCAGATTATAGTGTGTGTGAGATAGATGGCAGCTCCCACAGGCCCTTCCTGACTTGTTCTGTGTCAACAGCCCACCCTCACCAGACACAGTCTAGGGAATGGATTCCTGATTCAGTGTCATCATCCCTGCCTTCTAAAAGCTGCCAAATGATGTCACTGCCCTAGAAACCCACTAAGCCAATTGCAAAACAAGATGAAACCTCTTACTTCTCACAAACACGACTTCTGCCCTGCCTCTACCTGCCTGTCAACCTGCTAGGCAGCCAGTGGAGAAGAGTCTGTCATCTTACCTGCCACATTTTTTACAAGGGAAAGTGTTTTCTTGATTCTGGGTCTTATTAAATGTCTCGGTTTTTTTCTTCTTCTCAGAAAACGGTAGTGCTCTTCGTGACTTCCCTGGCCCCTCTCGAGGCTTGTCTGAGGCCTGGCCACCAGCAGATCCAGGGGCATTGGACTCATGGCTCCGGAGAATGAGTATGTCATTGGCCTGGAGAGAATCAAAATAAGGACAGTTAATTGAGTGATCTGGTCAAGAGAGAATCCAGACTTCTGAAATCTCAGGGGAGAGGGGACCTTAAAAGACACACACTCCTGCTAAATCGTCATCTAGCAGCTACGGGAATCAAGCCTTCAGTGAGACGGAACGCACTGCATTCTTGACAATCCATTCCACCCCCAGCCAGCTCTGCCGCCTCAGCACAGCCATTTAGTGTGATGGTCCTAGATGCTATAGGATCTCTCAATGAGTCGGGAGCATGTGGTCATGTTGCCAGTCATTTATCCATTCATGCCTTCACTTCACAAGTGAAACTCAGATTTGTGTGATGTGCCAGATGGAATACAGAGGTGACAGGCAGGAGGAGGCCCTTGCTCTCAGAGAGCAGGCAGCGAAGCTTATGACAACACAGCATGGAAAATGCAGGAGAGAGCAGGGCCCACAGGTGCAGAACAGAGGAGAAGCTGCTGCATAGGGCACAGTGTGCAGATCATGGGTCCCGGGTTGGGGACGCCCCAGAGGTCTCACTCTCATAGGGGAGTGTCCACAGGGCCAGGGTCTTGGTGCAGGAACCCAGCCACGGCTCAGAAAGGAACACACAGTATGTGTTGACAGTTTACGGGTGGCTGCTTTCTGTATGCATACGTGTACTACACGAACTAAGAATGAAAGACTAATAATAGATCTACCCTGACAAGCAGGAGTTCTGGACAGTAGAGCTTGCTTCCTGGCCTGTGATGTGGTAGGTAGCAAGCTGCACTAGGGGTCAGAGGAACTGGGGTGATTGTGAGGAAATAATGAAATAAAGGCACTCTCTGTAGAGAACACGTGTGAGGCACCATGTTTGCTATTCCTTCTGTTCCGCTTCGGACACTCTCATCTAGAACGAAGCACTTTAAGGGAGCCCCACCCCTGTCTGGGAGTCCTGGTGTGGTGCTATAGGTTAATGCACCAGACTGCAAAGCCGTCTGAACTGGAAGCCCTATACAGGGTCGCTATGGGTCAGAACCAACTTGACGGCACTTAACCACCACCACCCCTGTCTGGGTTATAATGACGTCATGAAAAGCACTAGTGGGCTTTTACAAAGCTTCTTTTCTCTGAATTCAGATACAAAAAAATATATAATGTAAAAACTAATAGATCCTATAGTCAGACTGCCAGCTAGCTGTCTTAGGCCTTAGGCCTCAATGTTTTCATCTGTGAAATATGAATAATAATAGCAGCTACCACATAGGGTTGTTAAGCAGATTCAGTGAGTTACTAGAAAGTAGGCAGTGCATCTGCTGCTGGTTAGCAAGGCCTGCTCTGTCTTCCTCTCACACCCCTGGCCCAGCTCCAGCAGTGCTCCTGGCCCTGGACTTCCTGGGCAGGGGAGAGGGTCACACTTACCGACTCATTGGCCTGTAGTGTCTGTGTGGCTTTGACAGCTGCTGCCCGCCGGCTCCGCTCTCGCCCCTCTTCCTGCTCTCCCCTTTCATGGATCTCTGGCACCAATTCCTCCCCCTCCTTCCTGGTCTCCTTCACCTCCCTCTTGGGCTCCAGCCTCTCTTCACCTGGGGACTCTCTTCTGGAAGGAAGCCCCCTTGGGAACTTCTGGGAAGTCTATGGGAGAGACAAGAACGAGGGCGGTGAGTCTGGAGCTCAGGCACACTGTCTAACTGCACCAGCGTAGATCCGATGGCCAGGTGCTTGCTAGCCCTGCTCGCCTGGTCTGGTCCAGTCCAGCCTCCTGAGCAATGCCACAGCTGTCCAAGATTAGGCTACCTGGGACAGAAGATGGAGGCTTGAGCCCTGGGAGCCCTCAGAACAAGACTGAGGTGAGTCCACTTGAGGTGGAGTCAGGGGCAGAGGGAGCATGCTAGCTTCCATAAAGAGGCCACTCTCCTCAAGAGACATGCCCCTGACCTAACTTGGATGGCTAGTTGACCAGAACTCCACCCGAGGAAGACAAAGATGTTTGATACTGAGAACAAGTGCAAATTGCTACAATCTGACAAACTAGACTTGCCTGTGAAAGCAGTGACTGAACAGTCCAACCTGAAAAGGATTCTTCATATCAAGGAACAACCTTGTTTCCTCAGTGTACTGTGTTCATAGGGACAAGAATCTGGTAATGTAGTGGTTACGAATCAGGCTGTGAAGGTCAGCAGTTCGAAACTACCAGCTGTTCCACGGGAGAAAGATGAGGCTTTCTACTCCCATAATGATTTACAGCCACGGAAACCCTGGGGAGTCTGAACCGACTCCACGGCACATAACCACCACTGATCAAAAATGGGTAGCTCTAAAGGAAGTGGCTAGCACATAAGCTTTCATGAGTGTTCTCACTTGCAGAATGAGGGGGGTAAAGCAGAATCCTCACTGAATAGTTTCCCTCCTTCCCAAATGGATCTAGGGAAAGGGGATGGAGGACGATGGAGATAGGATTTTATGACCCAGTTGTGAGTAATTGTTAGCAGGATTGTGATGGTCACAACTGTGATTGTAGAAGATGTGTAACTAAAAAGGGCAAGCAGTCAATCTTTCATTTCAGGAACAGACGATCCCAGGACCATCAAGACGGAAGAGCACGAGTGGAGCAGGAGACCCCTACCTAGGAAAGCGGCACCAGCACAGACAGTGGTTGTGTACCTACCAGCAGGAGGCTGGCTGGAAGAATGTGCCCTTTGGATATTGAAATGAAAACATTTCTTTTGGTTTTGTTTTGGTATGTGTACATCAAATAGTTTTGCCTTGTTCATTTGTGAAATATAAGCTGTAAATGGGGAGCCACAGGGAGGAAGCCGGATAACTGTTGTTTGAGTGACGGGATTGCAATCACTGAGTTGAAACAAGGTGTATAGTTTGCTGAATGTAGAGCTAATGATCTTGTCTGTAAACCTTCACCCAATTCACAACAGAAAGTTAAAAAAAGAGAGAGATGTCCTTGGACAGGGTACTCTGGTGAAGCCAAGGGAAAAGCTTGAGCTCTAATTTCAAGCTATCTTTGCAACACTTTCTGTACCTCAATCCCCTCTCATCCACAAAACGGAACCTAAACTATACTCTGTCTGCAAGCAACATGTCAAACATGTAACCCCAAGATGATGTTGGGGTGATACGTGGACACAGAATTAAATAACGTGGTTTTTTTTTTCAATTCTCTTTCGGTCCTCCTGATTATATCAAGGATAAAATCTCTGGTTGGTCTTAATGTCTTTTATATTTCTCTAGGCTTGATCATCTTTTTCTTTAACAAAGATCAGGCTTCAGTATTACAGACTTGGCAGGTAATAGTATCCAGCCCGAATTTAATAACACTGTTTGGTTTTCACATAGATGTATATTTTACCAGTACCAGTTATGGCAAGTAACACTGGTTTATCTAATTATAATAGTGAAATAAAGCCTCCCTTGTATTTGAGTAAAAACTGAGTTGATGTAAAGAGAAATATTAAATAATATTGCAAATGGTATGTGGATAAAAGAGATACAGTAAATGGGGATACGTGATAGGATGCAGATGTGACGGGACTTCTGCAGGCAATGGCTGAGCTCAGAAACAGTGTGAGAGGTCTGTTAGGAGGCGACAGTAAGGTGATACAAATGCAAATACCGGGGAAATCCACCAGCGTTCCACATCTACAAGGCAGTATGTGGATGGGAACCCAGAGGTCCAGTGCTGGGAGTCATCATCTCCTTGGGGCTGTCAGGGACACTGCCTTCCTTCTTCTGCCCTCCACAGACTAGGTTCCTTCAGCCATGGCCCCATACCCAGCAGAGACTAGGAAGGGAGTCACCTTAATATCCACTTCAACATCTTCCTGGGCTGCCTTCTCGTCGCTTGTATCCACATCCCCGAAGGTTAGAGTCCCATTGCGACCGATTTTCACCTGCTTCTTGTAGGTGTAGTAGAACTCCACGCACTGCGCTACCGTCTTGGTCTGGATCTAGTTTGAAGTAAAAATTGTGATCAGAGCCCCCGGCTTGGCTCACCTATTTCAAGAGAATCCATTCTTTCCTGTGCCCCTTAGCCTCAGACCTAACCTCAGAATAAACACAGTGTGTCTCAGGAAATATAAACATTTCTCCAATTTCTGCTCTACAACAAGACAATGACCCACCACTGCCCATCTTTCTCCCACAGAGCAGCTGGTAGGTTCGATCTTTTGGTTAGTAATCAAGTGTTTAACCATTGAGTCACCAGGGTTCCAAAAAAGCTGTAAAGTATAACAATGAAATCATTGAGAAAACGTGAATTTGGAATGTATGTTAGATAATAGTATTGTTGTCAGTTGAAATGTCTTGGCTGGGATAATGGTACCGTGGTTGGTAGGAGGAGAGCTTTGTTCTTAGATGATATATACTGAAGTCTTCAGGGTCTCGTGTCATAATGTCTGTAAGTTACCTTCAATAATTAGCCAAAGAAGAATAGGTGTGTATGTGTATATGTGTAGGTATGTAGGTAGGTAAACAGACAGGAAGTTAGAGAAAGAGAGAAAGCAAAGTGACAATTATTAGCATTTGGTAAATTAAGGGTTAAATCGATGTCCAGTTTTTCTGTATATCTGACATTTTTCAAAATAAAAAACATTAAAGGCAAAAAAGTTTGAACACCATCCACATTCAAAGCCAATCCCAAGCTGGCAAAACAGATCCCTTCATCAGCCCAGGCAAATGATTTCATTCTTTTCAAAGAACAGTGATTGACAAGTGATTGTCTTCCTTCTAAGGAAGGAATGGGAAGAAAACTAAAAAGAAATCCTTGGAAAATCTGAAGAGGAAGGCAGGAGACCCAGGTCCTGCTCATAAATCTACCACTAACTGGTTGTGTGACCCTAGGTAAGTCACTCAACCTTTCTCTTTTCAGTGTTTTCACATGTAAACAATGAGTGGGGTGGCAGGAGATGTTCTCCAAGGGTCTGTGTCTGAGGAGAAAAGAAACATGTTTCATCTTACAGGAACCACCAAGCCACAGATTAATTAGATCCTGTTCTCTGTCATCATCTGATGACTGACTAATTGTCTGAATTTTTCGTGACAGCATAGGGGCGCCTCTGTGAATGTCACAGGCATACGGCCCAAACAGGAAACGGAATGGTACTGAAACATAGCAAATACTTTTAACAGGGCCCTTGTTGGAGAATTTATCAGCACTTTGCCCAACCCCTAGGGTCCTTTCTGACACAATCTACAATCCCAGGAGGAGAGCGTGCATTCTTGAAAGCCCTTTTCCCTCAGTGCCACATAACATAGGGAGAGGGCTGGAAAGATGCAATTCCCTTGGATTGGACAAGTATTCAGTTGTCCTAGAGTATGGGGAGAGGTGAGAAACTCAGGAGAACTAGACTTGGGCCTGCTCTACGTAATCAGACTGAGACATGGAAGGAAGCTATGGGTGGTGGGTCCAACAGGAAGTGGGCAAAGGTTCCCCAGTCAATTACACAGACACTTGCTGGAACTCGTCTCACTCAGCCTAGGCTGACCTCGCTGCCCACATGCTAATTGTTGCCTCTGCCGTGCTCCAGGCCCTTGGGGGAATGGCTCACCTTGGCCCCATCACCTTCCCTCCTGGCCTTCCCTGCCTATTTTAAATTAGATACCACAGGATCTGTGGCCCACTTGGGCATCCTTCTGACTCTTCCTCTGATCTGAGACTGTAGAGAAAGGTCACATCTCCCTCTGGTGGGAGGCGAAACTTAGAACCAATGCGGAGGAAAGCCTGCTTTTTTAAAAAGAGGGCTTGGTAAGTAATGGCAGGGCCCCAAAGTCCCCTCACTTGGCCCTGAGACAGAGCCCCAGCTCACCAGCTTCTGCACCAAGAAGAAATCCTTCTTGTAAATGGCAATGCCCTTGTTGAACAGCTTCCTTTCAGCCATCTTCCACTGGTCAGAGCCTGAGAGGCAAGAAGGCAGCCGGGATGAGAGGTGGCCAGGCTTCTGGGGGCAATGCTGACCATCATACAGATCACTAGGTCATCCTTCCATAGCCTCTTCAAGCATCTAGAGTTGGCCCCATGTCCTGCTTTTGCCACTTACCAACCATGTCACTTTGCCTCTGAGCCGCACGCTCCTGGCTTATGAAATGAGATCTAATAATAGAGAATACCTCACCAACTATGGCGAGGACTAAATGAGATAATCCATGTGAAGCCTTTGTCTGGCACAGATGAAATGTCCAGCGGCTGTTAGGGTTCTACAACTTAGTCAATGTCCCTCTGAAAGGACGGTGCCCAGAAGGGACCATGGTGCTCCAGCGGCCATCTCTGTTCCAGGTACCTCATGCTAATTTGGATGGGACTCCCTTCTTGGGTCTCCCCATCTGCCCACTTCCTTCATCCTCTCCTGGCTTTAGTGTGAGGTCCTCACTCTCTGTTGATCCACCATTCCCATTTCCTCAGCCCCACCAGGATCTGGAGACCCTGCACCCCAAGCCCACCCCCGGCCAGGCCCACCTGTGTAGTGATAAGTGGCCAGTGGGTGGTTGTGGGGCCTCAGGGGTTTCTTCAGTAACAGCTTATTTAGCGTTTCCTGCAGAAGTTGAGAACAAGGTCAGAGCCCCGGTGGGCTGAGCTTCTAGGCCATAGGCAAAATTCTGAGGGTCTGTGAGTTGGATGGGGACTACTTTTGACAAGAGGTCTGACTGGATGAGGAGGTAATGAAGGCGGGCCTGCTCCAGAGCAGGGTCTGAGTATGATGAAGAGGGAATATCAGACAGAAGGCCCCCGCTGTCTGAGAGTAAGGACCCTGATCGGGTGGAGCTCCTATAATCTTCCCCTGGGTCAGACCCTCCAGCCCTGCTTAAAACTAGCATGCCAGCAGGTCGCCTGCCAGCTACCCTGAGGGTCCCTCCCTCTTCTGGAGGCACCATCTCACCAGGATGTCCCCCCTGGACTCGTGCAGACAGTGCAGGGCCAGTTCCTGGTTGGTGCCAGCTCCAGGGAAAATGCTCGAACAGGCAGCTGTTAGCAGGTCTTCCACTGGATTCACAGCAGCCATTGGGCAAAAGAAAAGGAAATCACTCAGCACTGGGCTGGGCCTTCGGACAAACAGCTGCCTTTAGCTTGTGTGCCCTGGTGCCCCTCCTCACCTTGCCTCTGCTTCTCCCAGCTACTCTCTAGGTTTTCCCATGGCTGCCACACCAAGTCAGCTTTGTGAGGGTCTGCAGCTGCCAGGGAGCGGTCCCTCAGCGAGGGGATTTCCGCTTGGAAACGGGAGCCCACGTTGATCCGCCTGCAGGGGTGCAGAGGACAGGAAGTGAGTCTTCACCTTGTGGGGAGGGGAGGCATGCCTCTGTCCCGCAGGGAAGGGAAAGGATCCAGGGTTATCCAATAGAAGCAGTAAGATAAGGGAATTTGGCTCCTGGGAAGACAATCTGTCATGTGCTACCTGGGGTCAGAGGCTGGAAAGGGGAGAAACAGTTTGAGTCACAGACAGGGAAAGTCTCTTACCCACGGTAGATTGGAGAAGCCCAGCTCAGCCCTCTGGGGACCCACAGAGCCCTCCTCTTGCTCTCATGGCCTGCATGCATGCACTGGACCCCCCTGGGCCACCCTCACACCATGGCCAGGAGGACTGCACTTACGGTTCTATGCTGACTGGAGTGGCTTCCCCCATCACAGAGAGGACTGGGGGGGTGACTTCAGCACTGTCTATGGGACAAAAAGCAAGTCAGTAAGTGGCACCCTTGTCTTTCAGCAAAGTATCCCACCCTAAGCTGTGGAAGCATGTGCGGGAGAGTTGCATGGTGACTCACAGAGGGCCACCATGTTAGACAGCAGGCACTGGCGTCCTGCCCTGCAGCCTATGCCTGCTCGGTTCCATGAGGTAGCACCAGACTCAGTATTTGGGTGGCTCAGTTTTCTTATCAGCAAAAAGGGACTATTAGTATCTACCCCCTAGGGTCGGTTGTGAGAACAGAATAATATTGTACCAAACCTGGTACTTAATAAATACTAGCTGTTATTGTTACTACTATTACCGATAACAGTAATATTATTAATCCCATGGCCCTGGTCACAGCAGCTTCCATACCATAGGACTGACTCCACCGTAAACCATGGCTACTCCAGAAAGAGGTGCAAACTTTGGGCAGTGCAAGGGACCACTGCTGCATAACCACCTCCTCACTTCCTTTCTGCCTAAGCTTCTCCCGAACTAATTTCTTTAATGCTCCACAGGATCAAGACACTCCCTTGCTCCACATGCATTAAAAACAAAACAAAAAAACAACCGCAGCTAAATTTCCCACTGCAACGTGTGATAAAACCCAAAACCACCAGTGCAGCATTCAAGGCCCCAAACCTGCACCCCCAGGTCTCCCTTCCTTTTCTGTCTCCCACCACCCCCTGACCAGAGCTCTCATTCCTGCTTACCTCATAGCTCCTCCCTCTCCCAGTAGGCCAACTTCCATGCCCTTGCATTTCCTCTGCCTCTCATGTCCTCCCGCCTCCGCCCACGCCCACCAGAGTTCAAACCCAGCTCTAGCCCCACCTCCTCCGGAATCCCTTCACCACCACCCATAAGGCAAAAGGCCTCTGCTGACTTTGGCTACATATTGGCCTCACTCACTGACTGCCAATCACACACTGCCCAGATCCTGTCTGACAAATTTCCACATGGGTTCCTAATGACCCTGCACTCTCATTAGGACAGATCATGGTCTCCCATACATTTTCAGGGCCCTCACAGGGTTAGTGCAAAGCTTTACATTTTTACAAGTGTTTGTAAATACTTGTGGGCAGACTGGCCTCTTCTTTGCTGCCAGTCTAGACTCTACAATGACTTCTTCCTGCACGACCCAGGCAGCCAGGGTAGCTTTGAGTGGAAGTGAGAAGGCCGGGAGAGCCCAGGCCCACTTGCCCTGGGCAAATCATTTTCATCCACAGACACCAGGGGGCACCAAAGAACTATGCCATAGGTGAGATCAGGGTCACAGGTTAATCTGGCTCACTTACCTTCTGATAGTGTTTGTCGTTACTCCCACTTAATCCTGTCTACCATCCTAAAAGATGGGATTATCTCATTTTTTTCAGAGGAAATGGATCCCTCTGTGGAGTAGGCAACATTTCTCAACAGCACACCACCCAGGCCAGCCTAACCTTTCCAAAATGGCTGTCCTGGGCCAAAATGACTGTTCAAGAGACTCGATGGAATCTGTCGTACAGTATTAAGAGCAAATGTGACTCGCCAGACATTTAGGCTAAATTATTTGTGTATGCTAATACACCTGATAGTCAACACAATTGATTGCACTAGGTTGGTAGTCACCACAATTCACTATGTATATTAGCATATTGTTGTTGTTGTTAAGTACCATTAAGTTGATTCTGACCATAAGAACCCTGTATAGCATTTCCAAGGAGCAGCTGGTAAGCTCACTGAACCACCAACTTTGCAGTTCAAACGACTTTGCAATCTGACGCATTAGCCCACAGTGCTACACCAGGACTCTACTGTGCACATATTAATGCATCAGATACTCACGAAAATTCATTGCATGAGGTTGCACATAGTAAACTGGGATGAGTATTTGCACATCCAAAGATGGTTGGCAATTTCCTATGGTTCAAGCAAATACTAATACCCTCATTATAATAACGAGAAAAACAAAAACAAAAATCCTGAGGTCCAGAAGGGTTTAAATGACTTGCAAAAGAGATATAATAGTAAGTAGGAGGCCTGGTTTTTTAACCCAAACAGTTGGCCTAACCCACCCTGTGTGCTTGAACCAGCACAACCCTTTTTCCCTCCTAGACAGAGTAGGAGCCCTGGTGTGGCGCTGTGGAATAATGCAATGCACTGGACTGCAAGGTCAGTGGCTCAAATTCCAGCTGCTCCTCGGAAACCCTATACAGCGTCGCTATGAGTCATAACCAACTGGAAGGCACGTAACAACAAGAGAGAGTAGACATCCTTCTCCAGAACACAGCATTCCAGCCCAACCCTAGCAGCCCCATCCACTGGGTCTGTCTCCTCCCTGCTCACACTCCTCTTTCTCAAGTTCCCAACCCTCTTGGCCATTAAGGGAGTCAACTCACTAGACCGGAGCAGGGTACGATGGGCACTCTTTGGCGTGATGGGAGGAGGGGCTGGGATGGTGCTAGTTGACATGATGGCATTGAAGTAGAGTCCAGAGCCTTCCCGCACGGGGCTGAGGATCGGGGGTGGTGTGTATGGAGGCAGCTCAAAGCTCCGCTCAGAGGGGTGGTCGGCCAGGCGGACAGGAGAGCGCAGGTGGCTCTGGTATGGGGTGATGTTGGAGTAGACAGGTGGGGCAATGAAAGTGCCTGCCTTGGTGGGGATGATCAGAGGCTCAGGTCGAGGCCGTTGTTTCGGCTTCCGCACTGACGGCTCCCCCTCCACCTTGACATTCATGTCCTCAGCCTGGAGAAGGAAACAGAACAAAGATGGCTTAACCTCCTACGTCCTGGAAAAAGTGACGTCTCGACCACTGCTTGCTAGTTTCACTTTTGGAACTTGATCTGCTCTCCACACCCATCAAAGCCATCTTGAATAAGGAAGTATGTGCAAAGGCCTGTCTGTCTCCTCTTGGTAGGGGAGAAACCTGAATGGCAAAGTGGCTAAGTGCCACACTCCTAACGGGAAGGTTGGTGGTTCAAACCTACCAGCTGCTCCTCAAGGAAACGATGTGGCAGTCTGCTTCTGTATAGACTGACCCTGGGAACCTATGGGGCGGAGCTAGTCTGTTCCATGTTGCTGCTGTGTGCTGTTGATCATGCTCCAATGTATAGGGTTTCCGAGGCTGTAAAGCTTAACGGGAGCAGAAAACTCATCTGTCTCCCTTGGAGTGGCTGGTGGATTTGAATTGCTGAACTTGCAGTTAGCAATCCAATATATAACTCACTATGCCACAGGGCTCAGTCTGTCCCTTGGGTCACTATGAAGCAGAACTGACGAATCAGCACTGTTTTTTTTATTTTTGTTTATATTTGTTTGTTTAGGGCAGGGGCTGGCAAACTTCTGAAAAGAGACAGTAAATATTTTCAGCTTTGTGGTCTCTGTTGCATGTTCTTTTAAAACCTATTTTAAATACGTGCTGTAGTTGTTAAGTGACGTCAAGTCAGTTCCAACTCATAGTGACCCTATATAGAGTTTCCAAGAAGTGGCTGGTGAGTTTGAACAGCTGACCTGGTGGTTCAAACCGATCCTGCGGCCTAGTACTTATCCTACAGCACCACATGTAAAAATCATTCTTAGCACTTGGGACTGGGCCTATAGGCCACAATTCCCAATGCCTGCAGTAAAGTATGCTCTAGGGACAATAGTGTACAGTAGCTAAAGCCCAGTCTCTGAAACTGGACTGCTTACATTTAAATTCACCTCCTTTACTACCACTTTAATTACTTAGCCTTTCTGTGTGTATCATGATTTTTAACATGGGAATAATAAGTGACTACTTAATGGGCTGGTCCCTGGGTGGTACAAATGGTTTGCACTTGACTATAGATTGAAGGATTGGTGGTTCAAACCCTGGAAGGGGCATGAAGAAAAGCCTGCGTCTTTTCTTTATAGACGCATATAAGGATCACAGCCCAGAAAGCCTGTGGGGCTCAGTTCTACTCTGTAACAGACAGGACTGCTGTGAGTCGGAATCATCTTGGCAGCAACAGGTTTATCTTTTCACACAGACACTATGAGTTGGAACCAACTCAACAGCATTTAACAATAGCAATGGGGTAGTTGTGAGAACACAATGAATTACTACCTGGGAATCACTGGAACAGAACTTGGTCATTGGATTAAGCAATAAATATTGGTTGTTATCACTACTTAAACTCCAGACTCTGACTAGGTGGGAGCCCTTCCCATGTGCCAAAACCTGAGCTGGGCATAGGACAACAAAAGGAACAGATAGGGGCTAGCCCACTCATGTTGTCAAAAGTTAGCCCCATGCCTGCACTTCTGCTGGCATGTTTCATGGGCCTCCATACATAATGGGAGGCCGGGACATAAGGGCATAGAAGGTTTCCATTACTCTCAAGAGAGTCCTAGAAGGGGAGCAGCATCCAGGTTATCTCTGGGTGCACAGTCTGCCAATGGGTGAGGTCGGCAACATTGACTGAGTGGGCCTGGGAATAGGCTCTCTCCATCCCTCAGGCTCCAATTCCCACAAGACCTTCCAAAAGGGCCCCAACTCCCATGAGGCCTTTGTCATGTCCCCTACCCATCTGTGTTCTATCTTACCTTCTATAGACTAGAAGAAATGAAATGGTTCATTCTAGAGCCCTTAGGAGGACAGTAGAATCACACAGAATAAATGCTGTGTATCCAAAGCTCCCTAAACTCGCTAGCAAGAAATCCAAGATAGACTCAGCTAGTTGTAATGATCTGCATTTTTGTAATAAGGGAAATGGATAAAAATGATTTTCGAATATTTGATGATATTAAGAAATTATTAATTTCTTGGGTGTGATTATGGTATTATATTTTATTTTAAAAAGAGTCATTATGTATGTACTTCAAACACAAATTGAAGTATTTATGGATGAAATGCTACACTGTTTGTGATTTCTTTAAAACCTCCAGTGGAGGTCAGGATGCATGCAACAAGACTGGCCATATTTTGTTAACTCTTGATAGGTAAATACTGGAGGGCTCATTTACTGTCCGCTCTACTTCTGTGCATGATAGAAAAGGTCTATAATACAAAAATAAATAACAATTAAATAAGAAGAACATGGTCAGCATTTCTCAAGCTGGGGGAACTGAAGAAAAAATTCAAGCCTCAACTTTCGTTACTGAAAGATTCTCTGGGCAAATTATTGAATGATGCAGAAAGCATCAAGAGAAGATGGAAGGAATACACAGAGTTATTATACGAAAATGAAATGGTTAATGTTCAACCATTTCAAGAGGTACCATTATGATCAAGAGCCAATGATACTTAGGGAGGAAGTCCAAAGTGCACTGAAGGAATTAGCAAAGAACAAGGCACCAGGAATTGATGGAATAAAAATTGAAATCTTTCAAGAAAGTGAGGTGGCACAGGAGGCACTCACTCATCTCTGCCAAGAAATTTGGAAGACAACTATCTGGCTGACTGATTGGAAGAGATCCATATTTGTGCCCATTCCAAAGAGAGGTGACCCAACGGAATGCGGAAATCATCAGACAATCTCTTTGATATCACAAGCAAGTAAGTTTTGCTAAAGGTAATACAGAAACGGCTACAATCATACATTGACAGAGAACTTCCAGAGGTTCAAGCCAGATTCAGAACAGGCCATGAAACAAGAGATATCATTGCTGATGTCTGATGGACCTTGGCTGAAAGCAGAGAATGTCAGAAAGATGTTTACCTACGCTTTACTGACTATGCAAAGGCTTTCGATTGTGTGGATCATGACAAGCTATAGACAACATTGCGAAGTATGAGTATTCCAGAACACTTAATTGTACTTCTGAGGAATCTGTACCTGCACCAAAAAGCAGTTGTTCGAACAGAGCATGGGAACACTGAATGTTTTACAATTGGGATAGGTGTGTGACAAGGTTGTACTCTTTCACCATACTTATTCAAACTGTATGCTGAACAAATAATCCGAGAAGCTGGGTTATAAAAAGAAAAACGTGGCATCAGGATTAGAGAAAGACTCATTAACAGCCTGTGATATGCCGATGATACAACCTTGCTTGCTGAAAGTGAAGAGGACTTAAAACATTTACTGATGAAGATCAAAGAGCACAGCCTTCAGCATGGATTACATCTCAATGTCAAGAAAACAAAAATCCTCACCACTGGACCAGTAAACAACATTCTTATCAATGGAGAAAAGGTTGAAGTTGTCAAGGACTTCATTCTTGGATCAACTATCAACACTCGCGGAAGCAACAGTCAAGAGATCAGATGACATGTTGCATTAGGCCAATCTGCTGCACAGGAACTTTTTAAAGTGTCGAAGAGCAAAGACGTCAGCTTGAGGACTAGGTTGCACCTGACCCAAGCCATGGTATTTTGAATAACCTCATATGGATGTGAAAGCTGGACAGTGAATAAGGAAGATCGTAGAAGAACTGATGCCTTTGAATTGTGGTGTTGGAGGAGAACACTAAAAGTGCCATGGGCTGCCAAAAGAACCAATAGATCTGTTTTGGAAGAAGTGCAGCCAGAGTGCTCCTTAGAGGCCAAGATGGCTAAACTTCGTCTCTCATACTTTGGACATATTGTCAGGAGGGAACAGTCGCTGGAGAAGAATATCATGCTTGGTAAGATGGAGGGTCAGAGAAAAAGAGGAAGACCCCTAACGAGATGGATTGGCCAGGTGGCAGCATTGATGGACTCAAGTTTGGTAGTGAGGTTGGCCCAGGATCGGACATTGTTTCGTTCTGCTGTGCATGGGGTCGCTATGAGTCGGTTCCGACTCGATGGCACCTGATAACAACAACAAACCTCCCTACGGAAGTTGGTCCATCATTCATCTGTCAATTTAGCATATTGTGGTGGCTTGCAAGTTCCTGTGATGCTGGAAGCAACACCGCTGGTATTTTAAATTCCAGCAGGGTCACCCATGGTGGTTTCAGCAGAGCTTCCCAACTAAGACAGACTAAGAAGGACAGGCAGACTACTTCTGAATGTCTAGGCACTGAAAACTTTTATGAACAGCAGTGGAACACACTCAGATAAAGTGCCGGAAAATGAAAACATTAAGAACAGCACCAGAATATTGCTCAATGCAACTAGGGAAGAGCTGATTCCTCAAAGTAGATTTGACAAAGATGATGGATGGGAATGGAGTAAAGCTTTCGGGACCTTCATTTACTGATGGGGCACAACTTAAAATAAAGAGAAATATCCATTAATAATCGTAGCATGGAATGTATGAAGTATGAATCTAGAAAAACTGGAAATTGTCAAAATGAAATGAACACATAAAGATCAATATCAAAAGCATTAGAGAGCTGAAATGGATAGGTACTGGCCATTTTGAATCATATGGTATACTAATGCTGGGAATGGCAATCCATCATCAAAAAGAACATTCAAGATCCAACTTGAAACATAACACTCTGTTATAGGATAACATCCATACACTTACATGGAAGACCAGCTACTACCACTATATTCAAATTTATGTATCAACCATTAAAGTCAGTGAAACTGACCAAACATCTTGAGTGAAATTGATCTCACATGCAATCAAGATGTGTTGCTTATTACTGGTTATTGAAATGCAAAGGTTCAAACAAAGATCAGTAGCTGGAAAACATGGCCTTAGTGATAGAAATACGGACCTCACCAGATTAAATACACAGAAATCAAATTGACCACACTGTGGAAAGAGAAGGTAGAAAAGCTCCATATCAAAATAAGACCAGGGGCAAATTGGAACAAAGTACCAATTTCTCATATGCAAATTCAGGCT